TTTATAACCAGAAATTTTTTGAACTTATCACATATTTTAATTTGTATTTATATTTACATCGAATCGTATTTATTGCGTTGGTATATATTTTTAATTATTTTTGGGTATAAATGTAGGCGTGAATTTAGTGGTGCAACATTTTTAAAAAATAGATAACCTTATTTCTAGGCTGTCATTTTTTGTTTTCCCTCTTCAACAAGTGTTTCATCATTTTCTCCTTCTTTAGTATCCTCTGAACCGTTTGACAACAACCCTACTGTTGCATCGCTATTTGTACGACGATGTCGACGGTATTCATTCTAAAATTATTATTTTGTTTAAATTCGAGTTAGATTATTCCCTCATCCTTGAAAACCGGTAAATTGACTTTTTCCTCTCCCTCACAGTAAAATTTTCCCCGAAACCTCCGAACAGTCGTTAGAAGGTCCCCCGAAGTTCCAATCTCCCAAAATACCCATAAGTTTAGAAATGATTTATATACCATTCTTTTACATCCATTTCCTTGAACTTGAGCACCATTTCCAGGCGTTAAAGTTTTATCCAAATAATTATTAGATTCATTCATTTCAAAAGATAATTGTCTAATTCCATTTTCATTTCTTTTTCCTTTTAATTTATTATCAACTAAGTCATTAATTTCTTCCATATTTCCACTTTGTTGTTGCTGAGGAGAGACAGGCACATAAAAATTGGCAATTGAAGGATTCTGTCCAGTAACGGACACAACATCTGGTTGAACACCATCAATTGCTATACTAGCACCAGAAGCATCAACTCTGGTAATTATATTTAAAAATATTCTAAAAATACAGTCAGACCTTAATATAAGATATTCATTTACGGCTGTATATCTTTTATATATATCTTAAATAGGAGGGTTCGCTTAGGTCAAACAAATTTTAACTTATTTTAATGAAGGTGTATGTAGTTGAATGTAGGTATCTTATAGCAAGGTTTGACTATCCTGTAAAAACATACCTATTTCTAGTCATAAGTGTTCCTCTATACATTGCCAAATATGTTTGTGAAGAAATTTCCAAATATGTACATTCACTAAAATTTTAATTTTAGATGTAAAAAATATCCAAAACCTTCTTATAACGAGTGAAAAGTCTGGAAGAAATTTTATTCTTTTTGCAACATCTTGTGACGTAGAATCAACAAATTGTTGTTGACTGCCTGTTGAAAGAACTTAAGAATAAAAATTACTGCAGAATTTTCAATTCTATATTTCAAACCAGAGAGAACACCCGGTAAAGAAGGACGATTTCCAGCATTATCTACTTTGTCAAGTTCAGAAATAGCACTCGGCACAGCCTTGACTTGACCTAACATATTATTTGTACTATTTGCTACAGAATCGATGCTTTGCCGTTGTGGATCGATGGATTGAATTAAATCATCAAATTGAGTAAGTATTTCAGTTCCAAAATATTGCCATGGGCCAACTTCAAAATTCATCGAATTCTTTTTTAAAAATTATTTTACAAAAATTGAATTTTTTAAAACGTCAAAACTCGTAGTAAGATAGTTTTTTGAAATGGAAAAAAATGTTTGGGGTATCCTAAAGGGAATCCTTTAGATTTAGGTTCTTCACAGATTCAAGTGTATCTACTAGAATATTAAGTAACTCTTACAACGAGTTCCAACTGTAGTTTAATAAAAAAAACCTGTCCAATTGTAATTACAGCTCGCCCCTCCAAAATAAGAATGAATTTATCAGAGAGCTGCTTTTTAGTATATAATTTTGCTTTTCGAGGTAATGCAGAAGTTAAAGCATCATTAATATCAGTTAAGTGAGAGACTTCAACTTTATGTACATGATTACGAATAACTCTTTCTAATATTGGTTGGGCTATTCGATCGCGACTGAATGCTTTGAAATTTCCCTCCAAAAACTTGAAAATAATGTTTATTTTTAGAAAAAATTAGTAAAGGGTGTATTTAATGGGAGTTTGTTCGAAGACTGTTTTTCGTTAGAAGATATTACAAAATACATTACTTGGTTATCCGGGAGACTAATATTCATAGCTTTCAAAAATTAACCTGTATTGTAACAACTTGCATTTGAAGAGATATTTGACAGGCACTTCCCTCATCATTAAACAAATGCATAAAATGAAGCTAAAAAAGTAATTACAAATTCTTATATAAAATTTAAAAAGCAAACATTATTTTTCTTTAATTTAGTTCTGTGTACATTATCTGTGACCATATCAGTTTCATCAACAATTTCAGCCTGCAAAATTTCTTCAACAATATCCTTGACAAAAAATTCTTATTTCCATATTTCAATAACTTCCTTACTTCTAGTGTAACTAAACCAACTAATTCATATTTTGATTCTTTTTCTCCTCCGGGAGCTAAACGATCAACTAAAGCCATGTGATATTCACCTTTTTTGAATTCTTCAAGCATTGTTCTAAGAGGGGTATTTTCAGGTACACGACGAACAGGATGTCGATAATAATCACAAACTGTTTTTACCTAAAATTATTTTTTTTAAATAAATTTATTAAAAAAATAATTTTTAACCAAAAAATTATCATCAGGATCCAACATTGCAAGATCTTTAACAAAAAGAAGTGACACAACATTGTCTCTTGCATTATCATATACAGGGATTCTAGTGTAGCCGGAATGAACAATTTGAGCAACAATCTTTGCATTTAGAACCGTATTAATTGGAATCATAAAGACATCCTGAAATATTTAAAAAATAATAAATAGATCATATGAGATTGATTTTGATTTTAATGTAAAGAAAATATAGATTTAGTAATGGTCATGAGTGAGAGTTAATTTGAACTCATCCATATAAACAAAACAAATGAAAATTTGCTATATGGAAAGAGAAGAGGGAATTATAGTTCGAGAAAATGTGCCAAAATATTAATTTGTAATTTACAAATATTATTTTCAAATTTTAAAGTCACTTACATCAATTTTTGTCATTACATCTTTTACTGTTTTATCACCCATTTCAAAAGCACCAATTGCAATTTTTAATTCCTCGGCTGGACCTATTGCATTTTTAGTACTCAATTTGATTAATTCCATAAGACGTTTTCTATCATAAGAAACAACTTCATCGCCCAATAAATGATCGAGAACTTTACTTATTGGGTAGGCCAACTATTTTTAAGACAATAAAATTATAAAAAATCAGTAAAAAAACTTACAGGAAAAGTAAGCACCATAAAAAATCTGGTAACCCAAATTGTGTGAGCACCAACGGCAAGTCCTTTCTTGACACACAGAGCCTGTGGGAATATTTCACCAAAGACAACTATGCCAGCCGAAGAAATGGCCAAAGCCACATATCCACTTGTAAGGTCATCAAAAAGAATGGAAATTGCTGAATTTACACAAACATTTCCAATTAAGAGTGAGCAAAGTAATTGATTGCCAGATTTCCTGACTGGCAAAATCATTTGGGCATATTTTCTTTCTTTCGAAGAGCCTAAAAATTCAATTTGAAAATTCATTTTTTCAAGTTTCGAGTTTTACCAGAATTCGAAATGAGTGTAAGTTCTTGGGGTGTAAGTGACATTAATCCAAGGTTTAAGCCAGAGAAAAGACCAGAAAGCACTAACAAGGCAGCAACAATTGAAATTTGAACAAACATTGGAAAATAGTACTGACGAGGTGGCATATCAGTTGAAACTGAACAACGTAGATCGTCAACCTTGAAAGTAAATTTATTAATGCCAAAAATTTTTTTAAAGAAATACCAAATAGAAAGGAAGGTCGAAAACGTCATCAGCAGCTTTTTGTTTAAGACAAAGTTTGTAGACGGACTTGGATCTGGAAATTAATAAGTATTTTTCTGTGTTTTCAATTCTTTCACTAAAAATTAAAGTAAAAAAACATACTCAGAAAATTTGTAAATAATAACAATTCGTCTATCTGTCTGAATACTAAAATCTTCTTGGACAATATTCAACACAGTTTCTGAGCAGTTCTGACTAAGTGTAAATCCAACTAAAACAATTTCATCCAAAAACGTTCCAAAAAGAACAACTCTAACTTCCGTATCAGGGGCAACAATACTCAGTCCTTTGTCACTAAAAGGTTGAAAATTATTCAAGATAAATTAATTAAAACATACGTATATCCAATAAAGTCTGGTTCGCCAGATTTCATTGGCTCAATTCGAATTCCTGACAGGAGCGTTTTCTTATCTTTCGTGACAAATTCTTGTTTAACAACCTAAAAAATAAATTTATAAAAATAAAAAAATATAAAATAAACCGTTGAGGGCAATTGAATGTGTGGCAATTGTTTTTGATGAAGGCTGACGTTGTCATTTTTTATATTAAAATTTGGAATATTTTCTATTGTTGTGTCTGTTAAATTTGTTTTGTAAAAATTATCTCCATTTGGCAAAGAAAAAACGAAATTAACACTCAGCAGAAGTAAAATATAAGATGTAAAAGGGAAGGCTGCTGACAGTGTTGTTGGTGCTAGTACTGCTCCATTTTGCCTTCTCAAGTTTCGCATTCGGTGTAATAAACAAATAAAAATAATAAGGGCCTCCGCAAATTAATAAATGCACAATAAAAGTATTTTAGCTAAAAAGAAAGTAATTAACAATTCCACATTAATCTATAAACTATTGAAAAAAACATCTGCTGGTGAAAAATTTCCCTAGAAAGTTGTAACTTTTTAAAGGATCATCTGATAAATTGATCTTGTTGGGAATAATAACAACATTCAATCCCTTTGGCTGATATAATTATTTATTCAAAACGGTTAAGAATCAAAACCGTTGTGGCAAATAAGGTCCTGGGACTGAAACGGCCGGACTAAAACGTCCCCGACTCTAAATTCATTTTGGCGTTTATATTGGCATTCTATTATTAAATCACAAAATGGTATTGACATAATGGTCAAGAAGGATATTAGACAAAATGGTACGTGCCCCTTTGAAACCCTACCATTTTGCCCATTTTAACTGAAGTATCATTTCATCTAACAATTCTTTTATTTCACTCTCATTGTTAATCTCATCATTTTTATATTTTTCACATTTTATCTCTAATAAACGTAAATCTTTTATTTTTCACAACTTAAAGATGGGATCGCAAAAAGTAGAAAAATATTTACATGACAAATCAATTTCCTTGGATGATACAAATATTGCTGAACAATTTCAAAAGCTTGAATCCTTTTATATAAACAAGTTTGTTTTTATTTAATTGGCTATTTTTAAAATTTTAGGCTTTGGAATCAATTATCCGAACTTGCTTATCAATTGGTTAATGACAGTAATTTTGTTTCGGCAATTGATTTGAATGAGTTTTATGATGTTTTTTTAAATTTTTCTTTAAAAAAAGTAATTATTTTTATTATTAGTCTTTTATCAAGGATTTTGAACATCGTATTCATCCATTAAAATTGATTCAATTAATTATTCCCATTGCGGAAAATAAATTTAAGAAGGAAGGTATGATTTAATAATTAGGTATTTAATTCTTTTTTTCAAATTTTAGAAAAACAAGCAGCATTTGATTTCTTGAAGAAATTTGAAAATGTTGTCAAAAACGATGCAAGAGCTATGACTCGCCTTATTTCTGGCGAGATTCAACTTTATTTGCTTGATTTGAATGAGAATGGACAATGCAAAGAAATGGATTTAGTCAGGGTAGAATTTTATTGAAAATAATTTTTAAAGAATTTAATTGAAATCTTTTTAAACAAATTTTAGAATATGATTGGAGAAACAGAAGAGCGCTTAAATCGTCTCTTGGAAGTTGGCCCTGTGCACACTGCTTTTTATAAGGTATTTTTTTATTTCTTTGAAAAAAGTCTTACATTTAGGTCTCCGCTGCCTACCAACGTCAAGTCGGTGATTATGCAGCTTATTATGTTGAAGCTCTTCGCTATTTGGGATGTGAGGATTTGGAAAATCTGAAAATGTCAGAAAGGGAAGAATATGCTCTTTTGCTTTGTGTTGCTGCACTTTTAGGTGAAGGGGTTTATAATTTTGGTGAATTGCTGGCCCATCCCATTTTGGAAGCACTTATGGGAGGTCCAAAGGAATGGATTGTTAATGCCTTATATGCTCTAAATGCTGGAGATTGGAATGAGTTTGATAAGGTTTTTGTTAAATATTTTTAAAAATGTTGGATGAGGTTTATTTTAAATTAAGTTTAAAGGAATGTAAGATTTTTGTTAAGGCAGCCAAAAAATTTTAATTCTCATTATATATATTTTTTATAGTTTAAAGGGAAATTGCAAGATGAAGCTGTTGACATCTCGGCAAATATGAAATTAATTGAAGAAAAATTACGTTTGCTTTGCCTTATGGAGGTTACTAAAAAATATTTTTTAATTAAAAAAATTTAAAGATGGCAGCTCGTCACCCTCCAAAGCAAAGAAATCTTTCTTTTGCAAACATCGCAAAAACGGCACATTTGGAAGAAGATCAAGTTGAATTGCTTGTTATGAAGGCTTTGGCTAATGACTTAATTAAAGGGCATATTGATCAGGTTTAGAAATACAGGCAAACCTTGCTTTTAGCTAATCCTTTAAGTTGAAAACTTGTAATGAGGAGGACTTTAAATAGGAGTTATCGCTTAAAGAGATTTCCCATTCTTGGGTCAACTAAACTAAAAACGTATCTAAAATTAAACTTTCTGGTTTTGATGATATCTAAAATCGATGATTGCCTGTATTTAAGAAAATAATTATTATTATTTTTAAAATTTAGATAAGCCAAATTGTCAATATTACTTGGGTACAACCGCGAGCACTTTCTTCTGAACAGGTTTTAAATTAATAATTTTTTAAACTTTGTTTTATTTAAAGATAACTGCTATTGAGACACGACTGAATGAATGGCGTATTGAAGTTAATAAAAAGGAGAAATTGATGGAGGAAAATGCTAGTGACATTATTATTGCTTGTAAATGATTATATTTGATGTTATTCTTTCCTTTTTTTTATTAAAATTTATTTTATATTGTTAATTTAAATAATTATTGTTTATTTAACAATAAATTCCTTGGAATTAAAACAAAAAATTTTTTTAGTTTCGTTTCTAATAAAATTAAGGAAGTCTTGTTAGATGAACCCAAATACCTATAATTCGCCATTTTCTGAGCGTTGGTGTCGTAACAGTCCACTTCTAAATATCTTCTCTGAACAAACAAAGGTTTGTAAAAATTAATATGAGATAAAAATTTTTAACATGTAATTGTTGTTAAATAACCTATAGATTCATAAATAATTCGATAGATTTCTACTTGGCGTCAATTATGGATTTGGTTAGCTGAAACACAACAAGAACTTGGATTGGCATACATAACAAATGAAAAGATTGATGAATTAAAAGCACAACAAAACAATATTGATTGGGATTTTGCCCGTAAAAAAGAATCAGAGTTAAAGCATGATGTTATGGCACATATACACACTTATAGTAAAGTATAATTTTTCTAATTAAAATTTATTTCAATAGTATTTTTAAGTGTTGTCCAAATGCTGCTGGAATAATTCATTTGGGGGCAACTTCATGTTTTGTACAAGATAACGCTGATTTAATTGCTCAATGCAAAGCTTTTGATTATATTATTGGAAGGTATTTACATTAATTTTAATAGTCGAGCATTATTTTTAAGATTCTTTAGGGCTGAAGGAATAACTTAAAATACGGCGTATCACTTGAATCGAAAAACGATAAATTTTTAAGAACCTTGCTTAAAATTAACAATTCGAAAAGACATTTAATTAAGTCCGATTGCTTTGATTTTGATATCTCAATTTTATCAATTTTATTTTTAGGTTGGCTATTTGTTTAGACCGGCTGGCCGAATTTGCACTTAAATATGCTGCAACACCAACAGTCGGTCGAACACATTTACAACATGCCTCGTTTACTACAATTGGAAAAAGGGCTTCTCTATGGATTGATGGGCTTTTAAATGTTTTCCTAAGAGTAAATTTTAATTTAATTATTTAAACTTTTATTTATATTAAGGCAAAAGAATTTCGTTCTCGCATTCGTTTTCGAGGTGTGAAAGGCGCTGTTGGGACACAAGATGCCCTCCTACAGCTTTTTGGTGGCGACTCTTCTAAAGTAGTTAAACTTGACTCTACCTTAGCCAAAAAGGCTGGATTTGATAAAAATTTTGAAATATGTGGTCAAACATATCCACGTTGGCAGGTTCCTTTACAATTCAATTTTATATTTTAATTTTAAATAAAAGGACTCTGAACTTGTTTTTGTCCTTGCTACACTCGGGTCTGCTGCTCATAAAATTGCCCTAGATATTCGATTTCTTCAATCAGAAGGAGAAATATGTGAACCATTTGATCAAGATCAAGTAGGGAGTTCTGCTATGCCTTACAAGAAAAATCCTATCCGTTCCGAACGAATTTGTGGAATAGCCCGCTATTTAATGAATTTGACTTTGGTAAGATTTTTTTAAATAATTTTAATTCATATTTTAAATTGAAAGAACCCTTTGGAGACTTATGCCAACCAAGGATTTGAGCGAACATTGGATGACTCGGCTAATAGAAGATTAATTATTCCTGACGCCTTTCTTTCAGCGGATTCTATTCTCTCCACATTACAAGTTTTTAAAAATTAAATAGAATTATTTAATGGATTTTAGAACACTTTGGAAGGTCTTAATGTTAATAATGATGTTGTGGAAGAAAACGTTCGTCAATCCATAAGAAACGCTATTCTTGAAAGAGCATTAATGTTGTTAACTGAGCGAGGAGGAAATCGACAAGAAGCACATGCTCGCATCCGTGAAATTACATTAGATGTTGGGAAGAATTCGAATGTAGCCTTAATCGTTGATCAACTACAAGAAGTAATATCCTCCTCCCCCCAAAAAATGAAAAAAAAGAACGCGCCGCAACCAAAAAAAGCTTTTAAGCAAACCAAAATTAGCCCGAGTGTGCTTTGGCTCTGTTCTGTGTTTGTGCACTCACGAGCTCTTTGAATGTGCGTGTGTGTGTATTTGGCTCTTGAACGTGGTCTCAGACTTTGCTGGACATGAAAATAAAGAAAAGTTTAACGAAAAATAACAAAATATATGATTATTGGACTTAACATAAGGTAATGATTGTTGGGTTCTTTTCCAATTTTTTATCAACAGAGTTCATTTTAACGATTAGTTTTGTTGAGACGGAGGGCATGGATAGAAAACACGGTCAGATTTAATTAAAAACTTAAATCCAAAGAACCATACAAATTCAGGAAATCTGAACTCCGTTTTATTTTAAACCTCCCTACCAAATATATTCCAACATCAATGCCTTACCATGATATTTAACATCACTCATAAAAGTTACTTGATTAAAGAGATGGAAAAGAACACAAAACAAATAATGTCCAAAAAATTGAATTGTTTATCCACTTTTTCTCATACATAAATTACCAAAAAAAGATCATTCCATAAGAGTAGCTGGAGGAGCAGGGCCATATTCTTCTTGTTCTTCCTGTTAAATAAAAATGACGAGTTAAATGTTATAAAAGCGTTAAACCGCATCCTAAAGCATTCTTAAATTATACAAACTACTACAGTCGAACCTTACTATAAGGTACAAGATACCCCTAAATATATTGGGTTGTAACATAATTAATGATCGTTTTTCTTTAACGCGTTATAGAATCATTTAAGATTATCAAATATTGCTTTATTTATTCTTGTTTTATTGCTCTATTTCTGCTCTTTAATTTGATACCAAATTTGACCGTTTTTAGACGAATTTAGAAAAGTTATTCTATTTTAAATGGAGCTAGGTCGAGAGGTGATTTTCAAGCTTTTCCGGTTTTAATTCGGATATAGTGTAAGACGCGACATGTAGGACGTGACATATGTCATTCGATTCGGCTCGACGAGCTGAATCTAACGGCTGAATCTAACGGTACCACTCTCTACTTCGGAAAATGATTCTGGACCGAGTTATAGGTCCCGAAAAATATAGGGGCAATTTTTTGGAATAAAAAAAAGCTGATACAAATAATAGCTCATTCGAAAGAGCTCCTCGAGCTGAGTCGAATGACACAAAAATTAGTTTGATTGAACAAGTTTGAGTCGAAACATGCCACGTTAACTCACGCCTCCACAAAGACAAAAAAGGGCGCGAGCACAAAAAACCCGCGAGCACATCCAAAACGACCTCAACTGGGACTTCTTACCTCGTTCGGGCTATTCACCTGACTTGGCACTTTCTGATTTCTATGCATTCCGGTCGCAGAAGAACTTCCTCAGAGACTAGCAATTCAAAAATGATGAACAGCTCAAAAAAGAGGTAGGTCAATGGATTGCTTCAAAACTCGGCACAGACTTTTGGGAGAGAGGAATTCGAAGGTTGAGGAAGTGCTAGAGACTTGTAGTGTTGCAACAAGGAGATTATATCATCGATTCAATTTGTTTTTTGTTTATTTATTGCGTTTTGTAAATTGAGAAAAAACGATCATTAATTATGTTACAACCCAATACATCTAAAAATGAGGGTCGACTGTACTTTCTTAGAATTTGTCAAGCTATTTTTAATTTTATTATAAAAAAATACATCTTTCACGCGTTTAATCTGCACAGCATCATCATTTTCGACCTCGCCATTATTTGGTAAACGCTTTCGATTCTAAAAAGGCAGTTAATATATTTAAAAATTAAGAATATTTGTGCAAACCTTAACATCAGTTCCATTATCTTCAGCGTTGTTATCATCGCTCTCTTCTTTGACTGGATGCCAATTGTTCACATGATTATTAGATTCAGAATTATCCGTTGCTGGTGTATTTTCATCTACTGATCTTTTACTTGTAGTATCTTCATCTTGAACTTCTTCTTTGGACTTCATATCAACATTCGATTCTACTGATTCTCGACTCTCTTCTTCTTCGTCCTTGGTTATTTTATTGACTGGAGTCAAATCCCTCTCTTCACTGCGAGAACGACCACGGCTTCTAGAACGCTCCTCACGGCTCTTAGAACGTTCACGGCTTCGAGAACGATCACGGCTGCGAGAGCGGTCATTTTCTGCTGTGCGACTGCGTGAGTGTCTGCTTCGATCATGTTTAGTAGTTTCAGATTTGGTGCGGTGTTTGTTTGGAGTTACATCCCTTTCATAACTGCGAGATCGATCACGGCTTCGAGAACGTTCACGGTCACTTTCCGGAGTCCGGCTGCGCCTACGTCGAGAACGTTCGTAACTGCGCGAACGGCTCCGAGAGTATCGACGGCGACTTCGAGAGTAGGAACGACGTCGAGATCGAGAACGCGATCGAGAATATCCACGTCGACGAGAGCTCCAAGTATCACCACTTCGCCACGGCTTACTTTTTGCAATTTCAACGACAACTCTAAAATTAATTTTAAAATTTGTTGGTTATGAAAATTAACCTCATTCCCAAAATAGAACGACCATTTAATTCGTACACAGCATCATCCGCATCCCTTGGATCATCCAATTCAACAAAAGCATAACCCCGCTAAAAATTATGTAAGAATTAAATGAAGTTTTGTAAATAATTTACCTTAATAAGTATATCTCTAATTCGTCCATAACCTTTAAAGAAGCGTTCTACATCCCTCTCTCTAGCCTCATAAGGAATATGCCCAACCTGAATTATTTAATGTAAAATTGAACAGAAAAATTTTAAAACTTACATAAACACGAGAATTGCTCATTTAACAAAACGTTCAATTCGAAATTAGAATAATATTAAGCTAAAATAGGTTTCTGTAATATCAAAAACTGAAATATCAAGAAACTTAAAGATAATGGATTGGATTAAAGCGGATTTATGGAAAAGTTTTTGTGCCAAAGACGAAAAAAATGTGCCAAAAGGCGGGTTTTTAAAAACACGGTTTTTGTGTGAGGGACGTTTTGCCGCAGCACTAGTCGCTGAAACATTTCAGGGCTATTTTTAAACTCGAACAATCAGATCATTTTACGGTAAAAAACTTAGTGCGGAATGAACTGATTGGAATAACTTTGTAAAAGAATCAATAAAAGAATGTAAAAGAATAAAATCAGTAAAAGTATCAAATCAAAAGAATCAAGATTTATTTTTCAACTTCATATTTATATAATTAGTAAAAACAATGAAAAAGTAGAAAAATGTCACAACAATATGGATTGTGGTGATTAAAGATATTAAATTTAATGCAGGTCAGATCCATAAAGGGGTTTTTTAAGGTTAAAAGTCAAAAACTGACGGAAGTAAAAAATGTGGACCATGCAATCTAACTTATGTTAAACTTCTAATAATTATAAATCTTTCCTGCATTAACCAAAAAATCAAAAACTCATAATATAAATTAATGATCAAAAACAAAAAAAGTCTCCATTTCTCCTTTTCATTCAATTAACGTCTACCACGGCTTCCACCACGCGCTCCACGAGTGCCTCCTCTACCACGTCCGCCACCACGCCCACGTCCCGATCCAAAACGTCGCTGAGATGGCTTCTTTCGTGGCTCATCATCAACAAGTAAAGTATCAAGTGGAAGTGAGTCCGGCAATTGAATATAGCGAATATTATTCCCTAAAAATTATATTTAATTTGTGCAAAAAATATTTTTGAATAAAAAATCGAAATAATATGCAGATTCTATTCTATCATAAAATTTTGGGAACTTTAGGCATTCAAAAAGACAGAATTCTACTTTCGTACCTTTATGGATAAATAGTTAGAAGAATTGAATCCATCATCATAAAATTTTATTTAAAAGAAAAAACCTCGTATAGAAAGCGTATCTAGTTGCATTTGTTCACGTCCACGTATAGTCATCTTCACTGAACGTAAATGCATATTCATAGCAACATCAACGCCTTGAATTGCTCCTGTAACTTGAGTTCCATTCTTTAATTCGATAGTAACCGTCTCATGCGAGAGCTTCATCAAAAAACGGACTAACTTCATGATTTGACGTAAAGAATATTTAAATATAGTTGTCTGCAAAAATAAAAAAATAAATTTAATATTCTGAAACTCTAAACAAATGTAAAAAAAGGGAAAAAATTACTCAAGAAAACAAAATACTCATATTATGGGAAAACTGGAAATTAAGCTTGAAGGAAGCAGGGAAGGATATGGGACCATAAAAACCGGAAGTACCCATCTTCAATTTTCCGGTCCAAAATTGACCACCGAACAAGGAAATGGTACAGCCCAAAACAACGCGCGGCCATAACAACGCAAAGCCATAACTAGCTGGAAATTTTTTGGCCACAATTTTGTTACCAATATCTTTAGCTCGATAAGAGGAATCGTTTAATACTAAGTAAATATGCTAACAATAAGTAAGATTTGGAAGTCTTGAAGCAAGTTATGGCTTTGCGTTGTTAAGGCCGCGCGTTGTTTTGGTCGTGTCCTCGAGGAACAGTCGTCTAAGACTCAGTCGTTACCCTTCAAAATCAATTGAAAGACTCAATAATTCCTTTCTTCCTTTTTTAACTTCCGCCATTAAATCTCTGTTTCTGTGCCTTTCTCACTTTCAATTTTTACAATTGTTTCAGATTTTAGAATTCATTTTTAAATATTTATTTATTTACAACTTTTCGTAAAAAGCAGTCATTTTTAATTTAGTAAAGTTGGCGACACATGTTCGTTGAGTGTTCGAGACTATTTGTTTTAACTAAACATTTATTTCAATAATTTATTGAGATTATTTTTTGAATGATTTTTATGTATTTATGTGTTCCTCCAGAGTTTATTATTAAATTTTGTCTCGTGCTTTCTTGACACTCTCCTAATTGTATTTTAAATTAGAAATTTGATTTTTCTGTGTCGCCAAACAAAACTTCTTGTTTAAACTGCAGAACATTGAACTCTAAAATTAACAGCGGAAAATTTTTTTGTCCATTTATTCACTGTATTAGGTTCTTGTAAGTGACCGGCGTGCGACGGGATCCTGCACGGGATTTTGCTGGATACCGCTCCCGCACTTCCGTACTTTTTCCGATTTGCGGGAGTGCAGGATTATTCCCGGGGGAGTTACTCCCGCAAACTTTTTTTAAGGTTACTCCCGCGTTTGATCCCGCAAATACGATTTTGCCGGTCACTAGTTTGTATACGCTAGTGCGAAACACAAAATTTGATTTATATCCTAATTTTTATTTTATTCATACTTTTGAAACCGAAATCTTTCTGTACAATTTGTTTTTTTAATCTTATATTTTGTAGAATACAATTGTCCTGCTTCATCTCAAAAAATTCTAAAAATGAGCAAAGAACAAGCTGTTCAAGAAGTTCAAGAAGTCGAACAAATTGATAAGGCGTCTGAGGAAAAGGTTTCGACTCCAGCCAAGCAACTGGCTTCGGCAGATGCTCCAAAGCCTGATGTTGGGGAAGAAAGCCGTGATTCGGTGGTTTCGTCTGTGGACAACGGTGTCTCTGAAGAAGACCAGGATGAAGGTAGTCAAAAGAGTGCGGATGATGAAAAGCCGGATGAGGTCACTACTGAGGACACTTCGAAGGTAGTTTATCTTTTATGCAATTTTTCTTTTGTATATTCTGTTTTATAGCATCTTTCTTCTGACAACGGAACTGCCGATCGGTCTGTCAAGGGAAATGGTCATTCGGCTGAAGAGAAAAGTGACGTCGTCACTGAAGTGGTTGCTGAACTTAATGGAAATGATGCTAAGGTCGGTGTATAAATATTCGCTTCTTTATTCATATTTTAATTTTTGTTTAGAACCGCAAACGTTCTGGACCAGGCGATGATTTAACGCACGAGGAAGATCAGCTTCAGCAGAAGAAGAAGCGCGTGGAAGATGTAAGTTTTAAATTAAAATATGCCCGTGGAACATAGTTTTTGGATTTTTTATCTTTATACCATCAATATAGAGCCCACGACTTTGTGGGAGGTTTCTTAGCCAAGTCGTCTCTTAGTCCCAACTAAAATTTAACGTTTTACAATTAAATTATTTTTTAATTTTAACAGGGTGAGCAAGAAGAGAAGGAAGTTCCGGCTGTTGCTGCTGAATGAGTTTCTTGATTGTTAAATGATTGGATGAAAAACAAATCAATTTCATTGCCCATACTCTTTTTTTGGTTTTATGAATGGTTACAAGATAATACAGTCGCAATTACTCTCACAACAGTATTTTTAAGCACATGGTTTTTGAATATTTTTTTGGGTTGAGTTAAGGAATTGAATTTTTTGTTTCTGAAAATGAGTTTAATATTTTTTAACATTTAAAAATCAAGTAAAAAACCGGTGCAATTATTTTTGCAATTTTCCAATATTTTGCTCCTATCTATTATATTTTTTTGTTATTTTAAATGATTACCACACGGGAAAGCACTCAATTACCCCAAACTTGGGAGCAGGCCAGTCTACCGAAAAAATGTTTTGGAAAAATGTTTTAATGATTTTACATTTGATCTGACTTTCAAGCCTAGTTATAAACCTTTTGATAGATTGGGTTGTGGTAGATTGGCGTGTTCCCCCAACATTTAGCATATCGTCGAAAAAATTAATTTTTTGAATCGCAATTACTCTCACATCAGTAAAACCAAAGTTGAATGATTTTTAAAAAATTTTATGCAAAAAATTATATTTTCTTGACTATATGCTCTTATATACCAACCAACCTATACAATATTGTTCTCATAATACTTGGATGATTTGTTGATCTATTATACTCTACTGCGTTTATTTGTTGAACAAAATGGCAATTTTTCTTTAAATCTTTCTCTGTTTGCACTGATAAATTTGTTATTTCCTTTGGTTTATTTTTAAATATATTTGTTTTAGATCAAGTAATTATTGAATGCTTGAATGGGGGATTTTTTAGTGTTTAATTTTTTTGAAATCTGTTTTTAAATTAGGATTCTTATTGAATTTTTTTATTAAATTTATATTTCAAAATATGCCTGCGTTAAGTGAGACACGTGAGTTTAATCTATTTTTTTTTTGTTTTTTGAAAGTCTGGCTTTCACTTTTACCCCACAGTTTTAGAGAACATAATGATTCCATTTACCCATGCGAGAGTTTCAGAAATGGCTTTAACGTTAACTTTGGAAGGTCGTATCTTGGCCAAATCAAAAAACGGGCAAAAACGGCTCAAAATCCTTGCTAGAAAGGGCACATTCTCTATCAAATAAGCCCGGTCTCGACCGTTTTTAGGTCGGACACCTCGCAAACTCTCCTTGTAAATGAAAAAAATATCGGGGAGAAGTATAAGTACCTATTTTTTAAATAAAAATTTAAGTTAAACGACGCAAGTTTATACCAAAAACAAAAGGAATTGAGGAACTTATTCAAGAACAACAACAAATAAATCATGGTCCTGTAATAAATGCAAAATTGCCTGTTAGAATTATTGGGGGTGATGGAAATGGGGGAAGTCATATAATAAGGTTATAATTTTTAAAGTTTTGTAAACTTATTTTTTAGATCTTTTAATGATGTTAAAATTAATGCGGAACTTCGTAATACTTTAAATTCAATTAATTATTTTGAGCCTACTGATGTGCAAAAGTGTGTTATTCCTCTCATTCAAAACACTACAAGTTTGTTTTTTTAATAATTTTTATATAAAATTAGAATACCTTTTAAGAAATTGACTTGTAGCCCACGAGTCGAAATAGTTCTTTTATAGTAGTTTATTCGAAAGTCGTTTAGACTTTCGAAAATCTACTGCTTTATTAACATATAGGGTTGGAATATGTTGTAAAGACATGTTCCTTTTCAGAGCTTTCTTTTTGTTTAACAAAAAATTCTTAAAATAGAAGATTTTTTTATTTTCTTTAGATGATATTCTTTGCCTTGCTGCAACTGGTAGTGGAAAGTCTGGATCTTTTTTGATTCCTATTATTAATCGGTTGCAAAAAGATAAACTTAGTTCTGGATTTTGTCGTTCTGACACTTTAAACAATTCTTCTCCTGTAGCTATAATCGTTGCTCACACTAAGGAATTGGTTGAACAACTCTACAAATTTGCTAAAACATTGGCTTATGGTTTTACTTCTTAAATTCAAATATATTCTAGTAAAATATGTTTTTAAGGTACTCAAGTTGGTGTTGCATATGCGAGAGGTCAAATGCCTTTTGAAGAAGGTAGAAAACAATTAGCAAATGGGTGTGATATTCTTGTTATTACGCCTGGACGTTTACAGCATTATTTAAATGACGGGTGGATTTTTGTGGATAATACTCAGTTTGTCGTTATTGATGAAGCTGACAAGTTTATTGTAGTTAGTTTTTAAATATAAAATTGATTAAATGAATTACTAAGGTTTTATATTTTCTAAAATATCGGCTAATTAAAATTTAAATTTCCTCTCATGCCCCCATTCCTATGTCGCTGAAAAATTTTTCTGATAAATCCAATCTAATTTTCTCAAACTAAAATTTATTTGTCACAGTTTCTACATTTAAAATTCTTTTTAGAATAAATATAAAAATTATCTTTTTAAGGAAGAGAGTTTTTCTTCACTACTTCATGAATTATTCAATCGAATGCGCAAACAAAATGTACTCTGCCTTTTAGTTTTTGATATGATTAATTTTTTTAATTTTTAGAATTTTCTTTTTCGAACTTTTATGTTCAGTGCAACCATTACAGACGTTGCAGATTATGTTATTAATGATTTTTTAAAGAAAGATTGTTATAAAGTTATTGTTGGTAAACCTAATCAAGCTGTTTCTCATGTTCATCAAAGAGTTTTAAAAGTAGATTTTGATAAATATGGATATGCTGCAAAGTTTGAAATGGCCAGAATTATTTTACGAAAAATATCAACTTGTGTAGAACCAAAAGATGGAGGTTTGTATTTTGTACTGTTTTTTAAACAAATTTAAAGTATTGAGTCCTTGAATTTTCGTTTTCGGAATTTTTGTCTCCTTGATTTTTTAGAGCCTTCGTGCAAATTTCCGTACCTGGTGTCCTCCAAATATAAAAATTAGGGATCCGTAACTGTAAATATTCACTTTGGAACCTATGAATATTTCTGGCACCGTTTTATTCTGTATTCTCTCCTTTTAAAATGTTTTTCTTTTAGAACATTTTTGTTACAATACTCAACGCACATTAATTTTTCTTAATGATGCTCGTTCTTGTGAGCGTTTAGCAATTAAACTTAGTGATCACGGTTACCGTGCAATGAGTACTAGTAGTCACCGTGAAATGGAGCAACGTTACAGAGCAGTAAATGATTTTAAAGAAGGAAAATGGCATATTCTTGTTGGGACTGATATTATTGCTAGAGGAATGAATTTTCCAAAAGTTAAAAATATTGTAAGTTTACTCTTTAAATTAATTTTTATATTTTTGTCTTGTTTTGAGACAAATCTGAGTAATCTATTAGGGTAGTGAGTTTTTTGCGTTTACCCTTGGGCAAGTTTTTATGTAGGAATATTAAATAATGCCGATTGTATAATTTTGAATAGGGTCATATTTTGATCAGTCGGAAATTAGCTGTTGATTGAAGCAAGATTATAACTTTTTAATTTTAACTATTTTTCTTTTTTTAAGTATTAAATATAATAAAATTCAGATCATTTATGAATTACCACCTATTCATCGTTATCAAGAATATGTACATAGAGTTGGACGTACTGGCCGCATAGGAACAGAAGATGGATGTGCTTATATATTTTTTGATCCAAGATCTCGAAATGATGAAATGCAGGCAGAATTTTTAATTGAGGTAGAAAAAAGTTCTTTAGTTTTTTTACAAGTTTAGTTACCCTCTTAGAGCTGAAAAGTCATGGCTTTTAATTAGGTTATCATAAATAGGGGGTATTTCTAATGGACTTTCCCACTAATTAAAAACGAGTTACCGATGTTGCGGCATTTCGACTGTATTTAGATTTTTTGGATAATTCTGTAAAAAAATTTGGAGCATCCTTTAAGGGCTTTGAAGAAATAAATTTAAAAAATTATGATAGGATTCCTTATTTTATTTCTTTTATTTTCCAAAATTTTCTAATTAATTTTTTAACTTTAGCAACTTGAAAATTCCAAACAACAAGTCCCGGAATTTTTGAGAGAATTACAAAAAAGTATATCAGATGCTCGAAGTAGATATACAAATGAATGTTCTTCTACTAATCAAAATTCAATTGAAGAACAATTAGAAGATAAAGCGGAGTTGGAAATTGAAAATATTACGGATAAATTTGCAAATAGTCATTGGTCTCGTTAAAAGGAATTCTTTTGGTGTAATTATTTTTTAGTAAATTAAAAAAGAAGATCTAATTATAGTAATTATATTGACCTTATATTAAATGAAGGGGAGCCTTGACTTTATAAAAACATAAATGGAAAGGATTATTATTCCGCCTGACAATGGAATTAGAACCAAAATTTTTGGTTCCCGGAAAAAGCCGGAACTTCCGGTTGGATGTTGATAAGCAAGGAATTTAAAGCAAATCTATAGTTTTTTTAATTTAAAAAAGTCAAAGTGTCATTCATTTAATATAAGACATAAGTCTTTCCTGTTTCTTTTTAGACTATTTATTTCCCAATATTTTAGTTTTTTGTTTGTTTTTTAATACTCGAACATTATTTTTGTTCATTTTTATTGTAAGAATGTGTATCTCATTTTAATTTATGTATACTTAAAATTAAATTATTTTTTTTTCGTTTTACTTTAAAAAATTTTTCTTCAAATTTATTGTTTTAATTTAAAAATTTTAAAATTTCTCATATTTATAAAAATGTTTTTTTCTAAGTATTTTTTCTTCATTTAAATACCAAAAGCAAGTAAATACCGTATTTCCTATATTAGAGCCCCACCCTCTGTTAGAGCCCCACCCTCTAATACAGCCCCACTTTGGAGGATAGTTGAAAAATAGAGCCCCACCCTCAATTAGAGCCCCACCCCAAATACAGCCCCACCTAAAAAATTTTGGAGGAAAAAATATCCAAATAACTTTTTAGATGTATTAAGAGAGTTAAGGAAATAAGGGGGAGATTGATGATATCGTGATCACGGAGAGAAAGGGATCATGGGGATATAAGACTGAAAAGGAGGTGATAACCCCGATATCCGTCCGAATACTCTAATATCGCCTATATTCCTCCAAATCCCTCCTATTACCTCCAAAATCTAATCATTGTATGAAGTGTTGCATTGTGTTAGGCACTTGACGATAATTCGCGATATTATTAGAGATCTATTAGGGATCTTGCTTATAATCAGTGATGAAGAAGTTCCAAAATTTCAATGGAATCGGTTTCAGTTCTGGAACTGCTTTTTGAATTTCTTCAGTTCCAGTTCTGGAACCTGTTCCAAGGTTTCATCAAACAAAATCCCTTCATATGCCTCCTAATACCCCTATCCAGAATATCCCTCTTAATTCGCTAAATCTTTCAATATAAAATTAATCCTCAGATATTCCCCATAATCCCTTAAAATCCACTTTTATACCTCTGATCCATCGATGTCAAATACCCGCTAATATGTATAATCCGTCCAAATCTACCCATATTTGATAATTAATCATACACTCATTGAACTATTGGGACTATTTTGTTATTCATTGCATAAAAAAAATCTTTCTTGAAAAATCGAAAAATATCGATTCTTTTTCGATATTTTGCGGATTTATCACTAATTGCAATGGATAATTAATGAATGGGATTTTATCTCAAAGGTGGTTGAAAAATAGAGCCCCACCCTCGATTAGAGCCCCACCCTCTAATACAGCCCCACCTCGGCGGATAGTTGAAAAATAGAGCCCCATGGGGCTCTATTATAGGAAATACGGTATATGGAATTTTTTATTCTCTTATTTTAAACAAATGTATCGCTAATTTCTTACAAATTTCTTCGAAACAACGTGTGTGTCTAGCTTTTTTGACATAAAAATTAAAAAACTAAAAGCATCAATTAAGATTAGAAAAGAGAGACTGATTTTTGATTATTTTTAAATTTATTTTAAATGAGTTTTTTCTTATTTTTATCTACTTTTTGCATAAAGTTTTATTGGAATTTTTATTAAAAATAGGATCGGATTCAACACCCCCAAACATTTAATAAAAATCAAAATAATTTTTTCTAATTAATTTTCTCTTTTTTATATCTAAAAAGCTTAAAAAGTTTATTTTACCTTTTTGTTATAAAATATTCTTGACTAAATAAATTAATTAAATACCAATAATGTGTTTGCTTTTCATGCATAATTTAATTAACTTTGGGAAAAAAGTTTTAAAAAAATATTTTTTTAATGAGAGAGAAATTAAAAGAGAAAGGTTGGAGGTGAATTACAAAAACTTTTCTCTCTCTCCCTTCCCTCTCCCCTCTCTCCCTTCAATAGATCGACATAAAATGCCAATCCCCCCCCCTCCTTCCAAACAATCCTTCCCCAATTTTTATTAATTTTCTCAATTAATTTAAACTCCTTGACAACGTCTTAAACAAACAAATTGAAAATGGTGAGAGTTTTGTGGACCTTTTTTGGAAAGAATTGTTTTAATATACGCATAAAAAAGAACACGCATTCTAACAAACTTTCCCCAAAATGTCGATTACTTTTTTAATTTAATTTTGATATTTTTATTGGTGATATTTTGGGTAAAGCTCTCAAGTCTTTTGGCACCTTTTAATATTAATTTCCTTTTGGCACTCCTCCCCTTTTTCCGCTTTTTTTCTTTTTTTTCCCTTTGTCCTTCACCGACAACTACATTCCACCACCTCCAACTTACTCTATTACTAAAACATTCATGGACAAATTTTCTTAACAAAATATATTTGCGCGTATATTTAATAATACAAAAATAAAGTTGTCTTATATTAATTATTAAATTGGATTGGATCACAACTGGAATGATGTAGTGATCCATTTATTTAGCCTCTTAAAATAACAAACTTTTAATGCCGATCCCTGACTAAAATTTTTCTTCTGTCCCTTTAAATTTGTTATATCGAGATTTAACTTTACATATGGGGAAAAATAAGAAAAGAGAGGATGTGTGGATTACCTATATTATCTATAATTATAATATTTTTCCAATTTATATGTAATTTAGAAATCTCTCATAAGTTTTATCCTTTCAATCTTATAGTAGTACAGTCAAATCTTGTTTTAGTGCTTAATTCAATTGAAATTATCCTCAAAAGACACTAAAATATTTATAATTAAAAATTAACGAAGAATTAATATTTTTAAATATTTTCTGTTGTTAATTAGGAATTGATTTCAAAAAAATTTTTTAATTCCAAGTGTAAACTAAAAAAATTTCTTTAATTTATTTTTCCATTACAACAATCTATTTATACATATTTTTAAAAAATCTGTTGACAAACATTGAATGATCAAAAAAAAGTTTTAAAGTAAAAAGGGGATTAGCAACATTTTAATTTAAAAAGAAAAAAGGAAAACAAAAATTTTAATCCAATTTTTGCTTTTTCTTTTTTTCTTCTTTACAAAACACATTTAGTAAATTAATTTTTTTGATTATTTGTTCAATAATCTTTTAACTCAAAAATCTGTTGGAGATTGATTTAATTTTTGTTTAATTTATTTAAAGAATATACTAACATTAAGTACATTTCCTCGATATTTTTAATTAATTTTGAAAAAGGAAGAGATTTAAACAACTTTTTTGTTTATCCCCCCTAAGTTTTGATTTTATATGTAGATATTTTTTAATTTTAAAAAATACATATTTATTTTTTTCCCCTTTTAATAAAAACAAACAAATACTCCACTATTTACACTAATTAACTGACACATTTCCGTTAATTTTCAAAAAAAAATTAAGAAATAAATTTTGTTTTTTTTTAAATTTTCTTTTCAAGTATATATTTAAATAAATAAATAATTTATTTATGGAATATTTAGTCTTCAAATAGTATTAAAATATAAGAACGAAAAGTTATGGAGCCAAGGTAAATTTTGAAAGAAAAAAGTAAATTTATACTTAAAAATTTACAAAAGTTATTCGTCTTTCGGTCATAACCCTTATAATATTCCCTATAATGAGGCAAATTTGACAGCATTTCAAGATGATGGAATTTGGCTTATTTCTTGTAGTTTTTCTATTTGGACAATGGTTTCGGGTAGAAAAGAGAGATTTTTTTGAAATTTAAAATAAAAATAAAGGTTTTGGATTACTGGAAAGTGGACGTGTTTCATCTAAAGATGAAGTAAATATAATGGTTAAAAATATTGTTGATGTTGTTTTTGGTGGTCTTTCTTATTGGATGTTTGGTTTTGGTAAGAGAAAATGTTTAAAATAAAAATTGTTTTTTTAATTTTCAGGTTTTACTTATGGAAAAGACTTCCCAAATCCTTATATTGGTAAATTAATTTTTGGGGAATTTTAGAAAAATTTTTCTGGAAAAATTGTGGGGAGAGGGTAGTTTTTGATGTTTAAAAAGTTTCTGTCAAAAGGGAATGTTTTCAAATCTGCTGTTGATTCGAGGACATTATTAGGGATGGAACAATTTTTATCAAAAAACAAGTTTAGACAAGTAACTAAATTAATAACAAAACTCAAGTCCTTTATTAACAATTTATTCTAGAATAATACATGAAACGATACAAAAATATTTGAATTAGCAACAATACAAAGTGAGATAATGTTATTTATATATATTTTATACATCAGCGAATGAATTTTGTCTGATTCTTCTTGTGCTTTCTCAGAGACATCTTTCCTCTCATCACTTGGTCTTCCTGCTGCTGCCCTTCCTCTTGTCCTCCCAGTCATAGGGGAATTCTTTTACCCCCGGCGCCGCCAATGCTTGTTTCAGCTGATCGTAATACTGAAAATGGGGAAAAAATTTTGTGTTGTTATATAAGGATCGCTCAGAAACTCACGTCTTGATAGTGCGGGACGTCGTAGTAGCCAAGCTGGATCACATTCTGCAGAATGGCTGAAAAAAAATTAAAACTGTTCTTTGTTCAAAACTTCTATTAAGGCAGTAATTTACCTCCATATTCCGGCGGGCATCCATTGAAGAGATCTCTCACCATTCCCGGTTCCAGGGCGTGGACGCGGCGCTTCTGTTCACCAAGCTCACTCATGTTCTGGATCCGGCGCCATGGGATTCCGGCGGTCGTCATCTCGACAATCATGTAGATCTGTCAAAAAAAAGAAAGTTTTTTAACCCTAAAAGGCAAATCAGCGAACCCATGATTCGACGTCGTCGGCTCGGCAGTATTCCATGTTCTGTAAAAGAAAAGATAAAAAGTTAACTGAAAAACAAAATGCAAATTTTCCCTCACCATATGACAGCGAAGTGCTGCGTATCTTGGTGTTCCTCGAAAGCCCGCCGCGGAACGTGGTCGACGAAGGGTGTTGTCATCTCGGACGTAGCGACGGCACATGCCAAAATCCAGAATGTAGATGTTGCGAACATCTCCTTTGCGGTCCGGAAGGCCAATAGAGTAGTTGCCAGGCTTTATGTCCCGATGCAGGTAGCCTATCTTGTGGAGCTCCTCGATTGCCTCCAAGGTCTGTATTGCCGCTGAAATAGCAGTGCCCTTTGTGAAGCATTCAGACTTGCGCGCCTTCCGCAGATCGTGCAGGGACTTTCCAAGAAGCGTCATAACCAGATAGAAGAAGTCGTTGCGCTAAATAAAAATACAAAAATTACTGTTAGATGGAAATTTATTCCTATATTAACTAGCCAAAACTCACATAGCGTCCGCTTTCGATTATCCTTGCAAAGTGCTTGAATTGTTGTCGACCAGCGTCCTGAAGAACCGTGACGTCCATCATCAGCACATTATGCTCAGCATCACAGTGCTCCGTCTTCAGCGCGTACACTTGGTTGGCACTTCCTCGAACACGATAGACTTCTCCAAACGCCCCGGCGCCGACTCTGTCCATGACGACCCAGTTGAGAAATTTGCTGCCGCTTTCAAGTCCCCGCTTTTTGCCTGGAGCGCACGACATCCTGACCGTGTAGTAGCAGCGACAATAATGGAAGAAGTAGCAGGAATGTAGTCGGAATAAGTTGGAATTGTGAGTTTGGTTGAATAAAGTTGAGTTTTATGTTAGGCTTTTATACTATAATTTAGTTTTTGACGTTGTGAGTGTTAATATAGTATGTAGGTGCCATTTCGGCTCTACTCCAGTTTATGCGTCCAATCGACTTTTATGCGTCCAATGAAAGTTTATGCGTCCAATAAAAAGAAAATTGGATTTTTCTTGGTATTGCAAAGTTGGGGTATGGTTCCATAACATTTCTTCATGTTCGGGACCTACGCCCATTGGGTCTGGGACCGTTCCTTACCCTATCGCTCGAAATTTCTTAAAGTTACAATCGTTTTTCTGAGATTTTTAAAAATTGGCTATAACTTTCAGAAATTTCGAGGAATAGTGCAAGGAATGGCCCCAGACCCAGTGGGCGTAGGTCCCGATCATGAATAAATGTTTTGGAACCATACCCCAATTTTGCAATACTAACACTAAGAAAAATCCAATTTTCTTTTTATTGGAAGCATAAACTTTCATTGGACGCATAAAAGTCGATTGGACGCATAAAGAGTAGAGCCGCCATTTCTCTTTGTCAGTTTTCATCCTGATTTTATTCTGTCTTATCTATTTATCATTGCTGTTTCTACTTGTTCTCGTCGTTATCCTCACCGTTTCATCCTATTTATTTTCATCTATTGGACATAATGATATGCCAATTTGTGTTAACGGACTTAAGGGCAGAGTGTCGCTTAAAAAAGAGAATAACTAACATATCAACTTTCTTAATTTACTAAATTCAGTTGAATACATTTTCTAAAATTCCTCAATATAGACAAATAATATATTATGTTAAACTTATAATTATTAAAGGTATTGGCTACTTCTTCTATAATCCAGATGAAGCAGGCCAAGCTTCTGATCAGGCTTGGCACTATGCACGTTTTTTCTTTCAAATGTCTTTTGCTACAACTACATCAACTATCGTTTCTGGTAGTAAAAATAAAGAAAAAATATTTTGATTAAATTTAATTTTTAGCTGCAATGGCAGAAAGAATTCGTTTAAAGCCTTATATTGTTATTACTTATTTGGTAAATAATCTTTTGAAAAAATTTTATTTTAAATTAATTTTTTAGATGACTCTTGTCCATTCAATAACTGCACATTGTAAGTAAATTTAAAAATTGTTAAACAAGATTTATTTTTATTTTTTAGGGGTTTGGTCTGAAGATGGATTTCTTCACCAATTAGAAGTTGTAGACGCTGCTGGATGTTCAGGCACTTAACTATTTTTTGCCCTTTTTTTGATACAAAAAAATTTCTTTAAGTTGTTCATCTAGTCGGTGGAGTTTCTGGTTTAGCTGCAACACTTTATTTAAAGCCTAGGCAAGCCAGATTTGGAGAGAGGGGAAGTGCACATATGTCAAAGTGAGAGAAAAAAAGTTTTTAAAATTTTTTAAAATAGTCCAACAAATGCTCTTCTCGGAACTTTTATGTTATGGTGGGGATGGTTAGCATTCAATACTGGGTCAACATTGGGAGTTGCTTATAATAGATGGAGACTTGCTTCGAGGTATTTCGTTTATAATATTTAAAATAAAAATTTTTTTGGTTTAGATCGGCAATGGTTACATTATTAAGTTCAATAGGTGGTGGCTGTACTTCGATTATTATTTCGTTAGTTTCGACGAGAAAATGTCAAATCGATTTATTAATTGATGGATTACTTGCTTCTTTAGTTTCTACAACTGCTGGTAAATTTTTTAAAAATTTTTTAAAAGCGCAAAAATATCTCTAATCTGATTGTGAGTGCAAAATTTTTTAGAGCAAGAAGTAATCCCACTCTCTTTATTTTTTCCGTTTTTCCCTTCGTATTTCTTGCCACAATTTATATAAAATTTAACTAGCGATGGGTTTGGCCACTGATGGCTGCGGATAGCTGGGTGCCTATTAGGATACTCTGGCGGTTTATTTTGTTTTGCCCGTTGGAAAGCCTATCGGCTTTGGGGCGCGCTTCGCGCGCTGCTAGAAAGTTTGGATGGCCAACTCGGGCCTTTTCAGCCAACTCGGGCCTTCGGCCCTCGCCTTCGTCTTCCCCTCGTTGGGACTTAACATTCCACTTAGAGACACTTCGATCATTTGGCCCTCGTCTTCCCCACGTTAGGGAAGACGATGGGTGTCAATTTTAGACGGGTGTCATCTCGGATTCCCTTTAAGTTGGTTGTTACTTCGGGCCTTCGGTCCTCGTCTTTCCCCCAATGGGACTCGTCCTTCAACTTTTGTCAGCTAAAAAGCAAAACTTTGAAAAGTTGAAGCAAATTGCTTCAAGTTTAGAAAATTTCCATAGTTGAAGCAAATTTGCTTCGTAAACCAAAATTTCAAAAGTTCACCAATTTCTGCCACCAATTTCACCTGTCAATCTTTTTTCCCTCTCCCTACCATAATTTTCCGGATACGGTACTCCACCCCACAAATTTTGGAACCTCTGTATTCTCCTTTTTAGATGGGTGTTCAGCTCGGGCCTTTGGCTCCTCGCCCTCCCTTTTAGATGAGTGTCAGCTTGGGCCTTCGGCCCTCGCCCTTTATCTTAGATGGGTGTTCAGCTCGGGCCTTCGGCTCCTCGCCCTCCCTTTTAGCTGGGAGGGCTCGCCCTCCCTTTTAGCTGGGAGGGCGAGGGAGGCCCTCCCTTTTAGATGAGTGTCAGCTTGGGCCTTCGGCCCTCGCCCTTTATCTTAGATGGGTGTTCAGCTCGGGCCTTCGGCCCCTCGCCCTCCCTTTTAGCTGGGAGGGCGAGGGGGCCCTCCCTTTTAGATGAGTGTCAGCTTGGGCCTTCGGCCCTCGCCACTTTTCTTAGATGGGTGTTCAGCTCGGCCTTCGGCCCCTCGCCCTCCCTTTTAGATGGGAGAGCAAGGGCCTGAGCCAGGTTAAACAGGATAAAACTGGTCAACGTAAACCTATGGAGCGTAGGCGAGGCGCTTGTGCAAAACCCCGCGCTTCGCGCGGGGTTTTGCGGCACGCGCCTCGCGCGGAGTCAACGGTCGCTGGGTTCTTGGCTAGTAACATTATCCTATTCCTATAACGATGAGAAGTGCATGCCTGGCTTCCTCCTCAGCAGCTAAAACTCCACGGATGGCATGGGTAAGGAGCTAAAACAATTCAATCTTCGAGCCCTCGGCCCTCCTCTTTCCCAATTTGGGACTCATCCTTCCACTTTCAGTCATCCTTCCACTTAGAGGCACTTCGGGCCTTCGGCCCTCGTCTTTCCCAATTTTGGACTCATCCTTCCACGTACCCACTTAAGACTCATACTTTCACTTTTTCAAATGAAAAGCAAAATTTTGAAAAGTTAAAGCAAAAAAAGCTTCAAGTTTAAAAAATTCGGAAGCGGAAGTTTCAAAAATTTCAAATGCTGAAGCCAAATTTTTTCACAACCAAACATTAAGCCAAATTTTTTCAAAACCAAAAATTTCAAATACCAAAATCAGCTCGAAATCTTGATTCTAAGTCGAGATAAAGAGGCTAAAAATAGCCAACGTAAACCTATGGGGCGTCGGCGAGGCGCTTGTGCAAAACTCCGCGCTTCGCGCGGAGTTTTGCGGCACGCGCCTCGCGGGGAGTCTACGGTCGCTGGGTTCTGGGCTCGGACTTAATCCTATTTCTATCATCGATGAGCCTATTTCTATCATCGAGGAGGTTCAACGGAGACCATAGGTACGGAGCTAAAACAAACTGTCGTAACTTTGCCAAACCGAGTCGGATTTCGTTGATTTTGATGTCATTCGGCTCAGCTCGATGAGCTCTTTCGAATGAGCTATCAACAAAAAATCGAATTTTTCACCCCAAAAATGTGATTTACAAATTGAAGCAAATTTGCTTCAAATTTCGAACTTCGAAAAATGAAGCAACGCTTCCAAAATATTATGCTTCAGCTTCAAAACTTGAAGCAAAAAGTTGCAGCAGAAGCATATTTCTGCTTCGGATCCGACATCGGATCCAGCTTATCCCCCACAAAATTTCCCCAGATAAATAAAATTCACATTTAAGTTCTTCGCCGGTTTGCCCCGCATGGTCAGAGACGGAGAAAAATATTTTCTTTTCTTCCACTCATTTCACCTGTCAATCATTTCTTCCCTCTCCCTACCATAATTCACCAGATACGGTACTCCACCCCACAAATTTTCGAACCTCTAGTTTCGTCAAAATGTACCGAAAAAATTCGAAAAAAATATTTTTGAACTTAGCTCGACGAGGGCTTTCGAATGATATACAATTTGACATATCTATCATTATTTAAAAAAAATAATTTTATGGTCGGAAATTTTGGCCGAAAAAATTAACGAAATTTAAAAAAATTCATAACTCAGCCAAAGTAAAGCTTCTTGATAATTTTAAAATCCTATTCTACGAAGAAAAATATGCTCTAAATGGGAAAAATACTTTTACACTTATCCAACAACAAAAAACCCAAAAATTTTTCAAAAAATCGCAAAATTTTGGATTTTTGAAAAATCGACCCCGACGGCCTCAGTTTTGAAATTTTTAAAAATATTTTAAGTTCAAAAAATTTATTATTTTTAGTACTATTTTATTAAAGAAATTCCATCCAAAAATCTCAATCCCTTAAATAGTTATGATTTTTTAAAAATTTCAGAATATTTTTCAGAAGGGGTACGTACCCCTTTTGAAAAATTCGAGGGGTCAGAATTTTTCAATCGTAGCTCGAAAAACGTGTTTTATGATGAAACCAAACACGCCGAGTCCGAATCTGAAAACGAAAAAATTCTAAAAAATTTTCCCGAAAAGTTATAGTCGAATAACCATTTCAGTCCCAGACTTTTGGAAATTTAAATTGATATACTGAACTGTATTCAATACTTATGAAGGCAAATATACTATTAAAGTGAAGCACATACAGGGGTCTATTAATGTTGTGGTCGGGATAAGTTTTAGATAGATTAAGTCCCCGAAAAGTTAGCCCAAAAACCATATCAGTTCCAGACTCAAATCTCGGATTTCAAACTACAAACTTTGAAATTAGTCTTTTTGGTTAATTCCGTTTTTGGTTAATTCCGTTAACAAATTTCGACGTTATCCCTTTTTTCCTTTGCAATCTCAAATCCCGGAAATGTCGAATCTCGAACTTCGACTTATACAGTTCAAGTTTCGACATTTTTAATAACCCCACTGAACTCCCCTCATTATTCCCTCTTGAAAGACTACCCACTCCCATATTTATCTCAACCCTAAATCCCGGCTTTCGAAGTTCGAACTCCGACCTTCGACTTTAAACCTCATCCCTTATCCCATTATACTCCCCTCGATATCCCCTCTTGAATGAGTACTCATTCGACCATGCTTCTCAATCCCGAAAATCCCGGATTTCGAAGTTCGAACTCCGAACTTCGACTTTCGACGTTATCCCTTTTCCCATTTAACTTCCCTTACTCCCAGTTCTCAAACGACTACCTACTCACCCATACTTAAAAATCCCAAAAAACCCGGATCCCGAAGTTCGACCCCTCAAAACTTGCTTCAACCTCCCCTGCTTCAACTCGAAACTTGCTTCAGTTTCGACTTTACCTTGTTTCAACTCGAAATTTCATCCATCAATCACATTTTCTCTCTCACCTATAAGATATGCCCCCAGGATTTCGTCATTTCCGAAAAATCGGACATTTTACCGAAAAACCAATTTTGTGTCAGGCATATCGACCTTTAGACTTGACATTTCGACATCGGGTTTTCTGGTTTCATCATCTCCAAATCAAGCTTCAACGCCCTCCCGGCGGAACTTTTTCTCTATCTTTATCCGTTCCGGAGATATCCTCGGTACCGACACGATTTAGGTACAAAGGAATAGAGGTACCCCCAAAGTCATAATTTTCCTGAATACTACATGAAATTTGACTCCGGACATGTCAAACTTTCAAGCCCGTATCTCAACTCTGGAAAGTGTGGGACTTTTTTCTAGCTAAAACCACTACTTTTATAGGCAAAGTAACTTTTTTTATATATATATATTAAAAATAATTTCTAATTTAAAAAAGGTTGCCACAGTTTGCGGCCAATAGACAGCATTGCAGTTGGAGCAATTGGGGCAGCATTAGCCCTTTCTGTATATCCATTAGTTGAACGATTAGAAATTGATGACCCTGTTGGTGTTATACCTGTACATGTTATTGGCTCTGCTTGGGGTTTTTTTCTGTTAAATTTAAACTTTGAAAAAATTTTTTAGGGATGATTTGTGTTGGTATATTTTCTTATGAAGATCGTGAAACTGCTATAGAAGATCCCAGAAATGTTTGCTTTTATTTTTAAAAAATATTTTTAACAATTATTTTTTGTAGAAAGGTGTAACAGGAAATAGATATGGCCTTTTTCATGGTGGTGATTTTGAGTTAATTAAGGTATTTTTGGATTTTTTCTAAAACTGGCTACTTTTGGATTTTATAACAATGTTTGAGTTTAAAGGAACTATCTTAAACCTAGTTCCCTATATCTCAAACAATGTTACAGAATCCAAAATCGCTATATAATGTAGGCAGGCCCGTAGCCAGGGGGGGTAGGGGGGGGAATTCCCCCCCCCCCCCCGAAATGGGAAAAAGGAAAAAATTTGGGGAAGGGCTGGGGCAAAAAAGTGAATTTTTTTGGCCTACGGCCTCTGAAATTTAAAAAATTTTCGCCTGCGGCGCTAAAAAAGGAAGAAATCTGGCTTCTTGAGGTCCAAAATTCAAAAAATTTTCGCCTGCGGCGCTGAAAAACAAAATTTTGGCGCCTGCGGCGCCGAAAAAGTGAATTTTTTGGCCTACGGCCTTCTAAAATTCTCAAAATTTTCGCCTGCGGCGCTGAAAATAAAAAAATTTTGGCGCCTTCGGCGCCAAAAATTTGGCGCAGAAAAAATTCCCCCCCTCGAAAAAAAATCCTGGCTACGGGCCTGAATGTAGGTCTTTTTATTTTTAAAGGTCCAAGCTCTATGTGTTGTTTGTGTATCGGCATTTTCACTTATTGTTACATTTCTTTCACTTATTGTAAGAAAAGTTTAAGCAAAAATAAATTTAATTTTAAAAAAAGATTATGAATCAATTCCCTTGGGGTTTAAGAATGACAAAATATGAAGAACAATTAGGTGCTGATTTAATAGAACATGGATTAGCTGGACATAATATTGCTAATTATTCTATTGAAAAGAAATTAAATGTCAAGTGAGTTTTGTTTAAAAATTAAAATTAATTAAAAATAATTTTTTTGCCTCGACCTCGAATAGTTAATAATTATTATTTTAAAAGTAAAAAGATTATTGGGCAAAATTTGAATAGTCACCAAGTGGGAATCGGGCTTGTAACCCCGAGGAAAGTTTAAATGTTAGGAGCTTCGCTAACTAACCGCTACGGTTACGATGACTTTCTCTCTTTTATAATTAAACCATCGTTTAAGCGTTTTTAATTCTATCCATCGGAATCCTCCCCTTAACTTCTCTGGTCCTTGACCAAAAATTTAAAGTTTTAAAAATGGGAAAATATGAGAAAAAAAAAAGAAATTTGGTCAAGGAGTTGAGAATGAGGTCGAGGCATTAAGGAATGCCTATAGTATAATAAAATATGTGGCAAAATGGAAACGAAAAGCAAGACTTGCAAGAGAAAGAAGAGCAGCTGAAGCAGCAACTTTAGCTGCTGAAACACAAGGAAATAATCGTTTATCTATTGGAGGAGAACTTTCTTCACAAATTCCGAATAATTCTGACAATGCTGGTTCTTCTAGAATTAGGCTTGGTCCTTTAAAATTAGGTGGTCTAAGAAGGCCTTCAACAAGTAATTTTTTTAAAATAATCTTGACTAACACGAATTCACTAAAATGACAATTCACCGATTTGTGGCTCTTTTTAGTGAATTGTCTTTCGATGAATTTGTGTTTTGACACTATCTAATGTTTACCTTTTTTAAAAAAAGATATATTTGGTGGATCAAGTAGTTTAAGTGCTCGTCCAAAATCGGCCCTTGGAAGGAGACAAATTGAAAGAGAAAAGAATTCATTACCTCCAATGCGTACTCCAAGGGATCCACAACAACAAGAATCTGCTTCTGATATTGACAAAACTTCTCTCGATGAAAGATTACCTAATGGTTATTTAATAAATTTTTAAGTTGATCCTCACTTTAGTTTATACTCCAAATATTAGACCACCTCAATTTGAATACAATTCTTTTTGTCCCTTTAAGGGAGTATTTATAAGTGAGGTCTAACTAATGTAGTTTCTATAAAAAATTTTATTTTTAAAGGAATTCCTGGAAATGGTTCAATACCTTTAGGAAAACCAAAATCTACTATTGTAATCACACCAAGTTCACCAACACCCTCCATTTTGCAGCAGCATCGAATTCTTCCTCCTTTAAGAATGCCTGATGTTGAAGAAGAAGGAATAGAAAATAATAATAATAATAATGAAGATATTGGAGGAAGTAATAATAGACAAGCATTGAGAAGAAATAGTGAAAATAATACAGAAGTAAATATTAGAGGTGGAGGAAGTAGAAGTTTAATTGGAAGATTTCGGCGAGGAGCGTAAGTTTTTTCTTTGCTTTATTATTTGACTTATTATTTTGAATGTACAATCAAACTCTGAAATAATTACAATTAGGTTGTTCCCCATCCCAGAAAGCCAGGGAATTTGAGAGTTTCCCTTTTTATTAAATTTTTTCTTTTTAGAAGAGTAGCTCCTGGAAACGAAGATATAGCTTTACAAGAACATCCAAATACACAACAACCAAGAAGATTTCAGCAAAGAGAACAACAAGAAACGCCATTCTCTGCTAGATCAACTTCTGTTGTTCAATCAGAAGGATTTGATGAGCAACAAGTGAGAAGGGCAGATTCGATGCAAGCATTGACAGGGGGATCAACGAATCCTATAGCCAGGAGAAGAGAAAGTGCTGCAACTAATGATTCAATTGTTTAAAACTTGGTTATTTGCTCAAAAGGCGATGAGAAGATTTAATCATTTTTAGGGTTATTTTTACGGGTATTTCTCTTTTAGCAATACTTTATTAATTTTTATATTGTTATATTTTGTAGATAAATATTTTTCTAGTCATTTTAAATTCATTGTTACGCTTTTGATTTTGGTGTTGTATATTTTTTATGTAGTTTTGTTTTAGAGTTTGTGATATTTGGGGATTTTTTTGCATTTAATAAGGTACTATTTCGTCAATTAAGGGATAAGGGACATTTTGGCCTTTGGAAGGGGACACGCCCAAGTGGGCCAATCTACTTTGATACCAATCTCTTTAGCTCGATGAGAGGAATCGTTTGATACTAAATTTGGTATGATTCGGAAATCTTGAAGCAAGCTTGAAGTATGCGCCGTTATGGCCGCGCGTCTACTTGGGCTCTACTCTATGGAAGGATTTCCGACCCAATCCGCCTATTTTTCAGATTTTGGTGTAATTCATCCACAAATAAATATCAGTTATGATTTTATTTTGAACTGTTTTTAAAATTCATTTACTTTTTATTCTTTTTAATTTTTTCTAGATAATTTAAAAATTATAAAGTTGGATTTAATTGTTAAATATTAAATGGCTGAACAGGATTTAAATCGCAACATTAATGAACTTAACGAGGTTATTTTCTAATTATTTAATTATTATTTTTGAATTTATAGCAAAAGATTAAAAAGCAAATTGAAAGTATTGGCTCTAGTGTGGTGGCGACTTCTTTCTTTCATCCAGTATCTTTTACTCGTACATTGATGCAACTTGGACATGAACCTTTTCCTTTGGAGAAAGGAAAAGTTTACGTATTTTTTGGACGACAGGCTTATTTTCTTCCAAACTTCTATAATTATCGTAAATTATTTATTATTTTATATTTGAGAATTTCTATGAGTCCAAGATTTATTTATCCTCTTATATAATTCTCCGCGTTAAATCTTCTGAAAATGGAGTGGTCGGAGAATGGGCCTTGTTTTGTCTTTTGCAATTTTTCGCTTAATATTTATATTCTTTTATGTCGTATTGATATTTGACAAATAGCTTTCCTTATTTTCTTTTATTTAAATCTTAATTTCAGTTAATAACTTCTATCTTTCACATGGGTTTGCAACAATTTACACAGGTGTTGGTGGACATGCTTTGCAAACGTTTTTGCATTTGTCTGGGGGTTTTGTTATAACTGAGGTTTTTTAATACAAAATAATATTTTTTGATTATTTTTAAAAAGATTTTGAATCGTTATTATCCGGAAGTTGGAGGAAATATTGAGGATTTGAAAAATTTAAATAATTTGGACAATTATCAACAATTTCGATTGCGATTGCGTGATGGAATACGTAAAACTATTCAAGTAGTTTTGTGTTCGGTTATTTCTCGTCCGTTTACTGGTATTTTTAAAATATTTTTTAAAAATAAAAAAATCTATTTTTAGTTGTAGCAATTCGTCAAATAGCTCAACTTATTGGAAACGAAACAAAATATTTGCCTATAAATCCTTTCCAACCTTTATTACTTATTGGCGCAGAAGAGGGCCCTCCTGGACTTTTTTCTGGATTAATGCCTGTAATTGTCAATGGACTAATTTCTGTTTGGGGAACGACTATCTGTATTTATGGTGTTGATTTGGCGTTCAAAAAATTTGTAAATAATTTATTTCCATTTAAATTTTTTATTTAAATTTAATAGGAAAGAGAATTCCAAGATTTAGAGCAACAGGAAAGAGAAGTAATGGCTCATTCGCGCAAATCATTTGATTATCTTGTTCCTTATTTGGTCAATACTTTGCGTTATCCTTTTGAAGTATGCTCTACTGTGATGGCTGTAGCTGGTTCTGGGTATGAAATTTTCTTTGGATTTTTAATTGTTTTTATTTGTTTCCTACATTTAATTTCTGCGAATTCATGATGTACTAGAGCCGGGTCAGTCCTAACCGTTCTTTTTAAAATTAAATAGTACGGTCTGGATTTAATCTGGCGTTCTAACTTTGAATGACCATAACTCGAACTAAAGTCATTTCGCAAGAAAACCCGCATTACTTCGCAATAGGAAATCGATGGTCTTCTGTCGATTGGTACCAAAAAATTATCAAATTTTATTACACATAGCCGATGTTCCCTTGTGAGAAATATGCCATTTTTTAATTCAATTTGAATGTCAATTGAAATAATTTTCATCTTTTCTAGGTTATTAGCGTCCCTTCTTCCTTATTCACCATCCTTCAAGCATTGGTCTGATGCTTATGATTATTTGGCGCCGCATGAACTTCGTAGAGGAGCAAAATTTTTCTTACGAGAGGAAACTGGTTCAATTCGTGTTGGAATAGATAATAGATTGTATGCAAGCAAACAACATTTTATTTGAGACAAAAAAATTTAATTTGATTATAGATTTAATTTTTCTACTTTTTTATCGGTAAATGAGTAAAATTTTATTTAGATTTTATTTCTGAAATTGTTTTTAACATTTATATTTTGATTCGTTTTAATTTTTAAAATTTTTAGAGAATTTTTAGAATCAGAAAATGAAAGTTGTCTTTTTACACCCTGACTTTGGCATTGGCGGAGCAGAACGACTTGTTTTAGATTCTGTGTTGGCGTTGAAAAAGAAGGGCCATAAAGTTTGTGTTGTAACTAATCAATTTTCTTCTGACCATTGTTTTGAGGAATTGAAAGACTTTAAAGAAGGTTTTGAAAAATTCTTTGTTATTTTCTATTTCTTTGAAGATTTGGAGGTTGTCGCACAGAAATTGCCTCGTTCAATTTTCGGAAAGTTTTCTGCGCTGTGCGCTTATATCAGATTATGTATTGCTGCATTTTATGTTTGCTTTTACCATCGTGATACTGACCTTGTTTTTTGTGACCAGGTTAATTATTTTAAATATTTTTCCTTTCTTAATTCGTTTTTCGCTTTAGATTTCTGCTCCATTGCCTATTTTACGGTTATTTTGTGGATGTTCTATACTTTTCTATTGCCATTACCCTGACAAATTATTGGCTATTAAGCGTGACACTTTCATAATACGACTTTACCGACTTTGTATTGATAATATTGAGACTTGGACTATGGGTTGGGCTGATCAAATACTCGTTAATAGGTTTTATTTTAATGATAATAATATGTTATAACACATCCACTCATTTGAGTTTAAAAATTAATTTATATCACAACTTAATTTGTTTCTGATAGCCCTTGCCATTTAAGCTCTTAACAAAGAAAACCTTAACATCCTTTCTTTAATTTTCAAACTCAAATTTTGAGAGGGGTGGTGTAACAAAAATTTGTGTTAATTGTCAGTTCTGGATTTGTTCAGGTCCATTTAGTCCAACATTAGTAATTTAATTGAAAATATTATGTAATTAATCATTTTCTAGTAATTTTACTAATGGAGTTGTTCAAGAGACATTTCCAGCTTTAACCAATCGTCCATTGGCTGTTTTATATCCTTCGATCAACTGTGAATTTTTTGACAATGCTTTGAAAAAGTTTAAAGAAGATGGAATTGGTGAAATTGAGAAGACTTTATCTGTGGATTTGGTTGATTTATTAAAGCAAAAAGAGACAATCAGTTTTCTTTCTGTTAATCGATTTGAACGAAAGAAAAATATTGAACTGGCAATTCAGTCTTTCGGTTATTTTAATAAATTAAATTTTTTAATTTATTTTTTGAAGCCTTCTTGCTTTCCAAAATTTCGTCAGAAAATTCAAAAAAATGTATTTTGGTGATTGCTGGTGGTTATGATCCTTTAAATTTGGAAAATATTGAACATTTTGATGAATTGGTTAGATTATCCGAACAATTAGGTGTTGCAGAGCAAGTTAAATTCATCAAAAGTCCAAGTAAGTTATATGTTTATATGTAGTGCAAATTAATATTTAAATTAAATAATGAGATTAACCGTCGGATAGATTTCATAAACGAATACTAAAAAGCAATTTGATCGGCTAGTATAAGGTTTTTTAAGGCAGATTATTTTATATGACCCTAAAGTCTTTAAGATGTTTTTAATTGTAAGTGTTCTATTCTTGTTTCACCCACGGGAGAACTATTTTCTTACGACCAGAGTCAAAATCAAGATGTCAGGTCGGTCATCTGTTTGGGTTAAAGTCGATGTTATCAAACCTCCTATTTTTATTAATTCATTAAATTTATATATTTTCTATCCTCGCAATAATTAAAAAAATTTTCCAGATGATTATTCAAAAATTTGGTTAATGTCTATTGCTCGATTAATAATATATACACCCACAGGAGAACATTTTGGTATTGTTCCAGTTGAGGCAATGTTTTTATATACTCCTGTATTGGCAGTAAATAATGGTGGACCTACTGAAACAATTATTGACAAAAAGACTGGATTTCTTTGCCCTCCAGAAAAGGAAATGTTTGCTGAATCGTTGGAATTTGCAATAAACAATTCTGAAATTTTAAAAGAAATGGGAATTTTGGGTAATTAAAAATTTTGAAATTTTTTGAAAAAGAAATTTTAGGCCGTCAAAATGTCGAAAAGAATTTCTCTTTTGACTCATTTTCTGATAAACTTGACCAAATTGTTTGTCTTCTTGTTTCAAAGAAGAATTCAAGTAATGAAGACAATAAAAAGGACTAAAAAGTTTAAAAATTAATTTATTATAATTATTTTTTATATTAAAGCTTTAAAATATTATATTTTAAATAGTTTATTAAATTTTAATTACTAAATAAATTTGCTTAGAGAATTAATTATTGTTAGTTGACTTTCATATTGTGTCAACTAATAAATTACTATATTGTTAATGATTATCTAGTCATTTATACTATATATTAATTATAAAGTCTGTTGCAAAAATGTAAAAATAAACAATTTTTGGTGTTACTCATTCTTGCCCAAGGATCAAAGAATTTTTCTTTTATAAATACTAGGATTGTGAATGTTTCAAAGAGAAATTTTTGATTAAATTAGAAAAAGATTCCTTAGCAAATATGAGTAATACTAAAAAATGCTCACTTTTATAATTTTGTAACAGACTTTAAAAGGAACCGAAGAATTTTCGTGTTTTAAAGATTCTTTAAATTTTTAGTTAAATGGCTGAAGTAGGAAATTTGAATCCAAACAATAACCAAGTTAATGAGGTAATTTTTATTATAATATAGGGACGTCACAATAATATTTAATTTAAAGCGGCAGATTTTGTTGATTTGTAAGGCCATTTGTTCTAAAGTGTTCAGCTCTTCATTGTTGTTGCATCCAGCTTATTTTACTCATACTTTGGTACAACTTGGATATGAGCCTTTTCCTTTAGAAAAAGGAAAATCTTTTATATTTTTTGGATCAAATACTTTTTTTCTGCCGAATTATTATCGATATGGTAAATTATTTTGATTTTCCTCATTTTAATGCTTAATTTCAGTTAACAACATGTATCTTTTACATGGCTTTAAGGCAATTTATACAGGTGTTGGTGGGTGCTTTTTGGAAAAATTTTCAAGGATATCTTGTGGTTTTGTAATTTATGAGGTTTTGTTTAAATACAGTTATTTTGGAAATATTAAATTCTCCAATTCTTCCTCACCTACCGCCGAGGCTATAACTTCGTTCAAAATTGCCGAATCTGGGAACGACCTGATATCGTCGTTCCCAGATTCGCGCTCGTCGAGGCGCCTCGAACCATACCATGGCGTCCCGAATTCGACAATTATGAACGGAGTTATAACCTCGGCGGTAGGTTGGGCTCGCGGTAGGTTGTCCTGCTCCCAGTACATATATACTCATAAAAGAGGAGATGGAAGATTTGGTTTTAGTAAAATGAGAATTTTAACGTTCTCCACAATTCTATACCTGATTTCTTATTCGGAAACTTTCAGAAACCTCATATAGTGAAAAAGTTCGAAATTACCGCTAATTTTTTAAAAGATTTTGGACCGTTACTACCCGGAAGTTGGAGGAAATATTGATGATCTGAAAAATTTAAATAATTTGGACAATTATCAACAATTTCGAATTAAATTACGAAAGGGAATACGTGAAACTATTGAAGTAGTTTTATGTTTGGTTATTTCTCGTCCATTTACTGGTATTTTTAAAATATTTTTTAAAGATTGCAAAATTTATTTTTAGTTGTAGCAATTCGTCAAATAGCTCAACTTATTGGGAACGAAACAAAATATTTGCCTATAAATCCTTTCCAACCTTTATTACTTATTGGTGCAGAAGAGGGCCCTCCTGGACTTTTTTCTGGATTAATGCCTTTAATTGTTAATGGACTAATTTCTGTTTGGGGAACGAATATTTGTATTTATCTAGTAGACATTGTATACAATAAAATGATAATAAAATTAAATATGAAGGTAGAAGGTTGGGAAAACCTTCGTCCATATGAGAAACAACAATTATCTGAATACCTGCAGCTTTCTGGTAAGGAATTTGAAAGCTTCAAAAACCCCAAAATGATAAATTAATATTTTTTAGTACTTTTACGCTATAATGTGTGTAATTTAATTGTCCCTTCTCTGGTTGGTTTTGTGCAATATCCTTTTAAATTATGTTCTAATTTGATGGCTGTCGCTGGTTCTGGGTATGAAAATTAATTTTTCTTGCGTTTCCTAATTTTTAAACTTTTTTTTTATTTTTACCTCCTCATGCCCACAAAGCATCCTCTAAATCAAATAATTTTTCTTTCCTTTTTAGTTTACTAGCCTCTCTTTTACCTTATTCACCAACTTTCAATAATTGGTTTGATACTTACAATTATTTGGCACAAAATTGTGAACTTTATAGAGGCGTCATGCCTTATCTACGTAAAGAGAAGGGATCAATCCAAGTTGGCCCAGATAATAAATTTTATGGAAGTAAAAAATATTTTATTTAATTTTGATATTATTTATAATTTGAAAAAAGATTATTTATTTTATAATTTAAGAAAAATTAAACCGGTTCTGTTGGACCCCATTATAAGATACCTCTAGAATACTCCCCAACTTATAAAATTTGGTAAGACGCTGGAGGCGAGTGCCTGGGCGATATCCTCTCCCACTTTAGGATATTTTATAATGAGGTCCAGTTTTAAATTATTTTCTTATTAATTTTTTAATTTAATTTATTGATAAATGTTATTGCCATAAATGTAATTTATATAAATAGATGTTTATACTAGAGACCGAACTTTGATGAATGCCGAGGATCTCGATAACTGACAATCGAGATCCTCGGCTTTTTGTGAAGATCTTGTTCGGGACTCTAGTGTTTATTATTTCCGTATTTTTGTAAATTTCACAATTAAATTATTTTTAATATTTCTAAATAAATTTAATTTATTTTTAAAAGTTATGCCGACAATTGCTGTTAAGAAGCGACTTTTAGATAAACATTTAGGTACTTGTTTGACACAAGAGGAAGTGGATGAACTTTGTTTTCAATATGGACTTGAGTTGGATGATGTGGTTAGTTTTTAAATTTTGGAGGTTTTCTGAAGTTTTTTAATTTTCAATTTGGGCAGTAGATGTTAAAAATTTGATTTTTTGATCTTTACAATTTTATCAATTTTAATGAAACTTCAAAAATAATTTTAATACTAAGTTGTGTGAAAAATTTTTTTTTAAATTTAAGTTAATTGAAAAGAACGAAACCACAGGGGTTGATGAAGAAATTTATAAAATTGAAATTCCTGCCAATCGTTATGACTTGCTTTGTGTTGAAGGATTGACTAGAGCTTTGCTTATATTTCAAAATAAGTTGTTTTTATTTATTATTTTTAAATATTTTTTTTTTATTTTTAGAATTAAAATTCCATCATATAAATTGTCGGAAGTTAAACCTTTGACTATAATTGTTGAAAAAGAGGTTTTTTTTAAATATTTTAGTGAAAGCTTTTGGTTCATGTTTAGTTGGTTTATCTTTGGTTTTAAAATTGGGTTTGGGTTAATATGTTATTGTGTTCTAAATCTATACTTAGCTAACTTTGAGCTATCCGAATCTTATTTTAAGGAACCCAACTTTGAACCAAAAATATAGTTTCGAGGGACACAAATATTTTTGAGACACGTCCCAAAAAAGTTTTTTCTTTAAGACCGCCAACGTACGAAAATTTGTTGTTGGTGCAGTTTTAAGAGATATTAAATTAGATGCTGATATTTATTCTTCTTTTATTGATTTGCAAGACAAATTACACCAAAATATTGGCAGGAAAAGAACGCTAGCGTCTATTGGGACTCATGATTTGGATACTATTAAAGGTTTTCTAATTTCCCGAATTTTTATATTTCTTTCTTTTTAGGGCCTTTTAAATATTGTGCTCGAAAGCCTGAAGAAATTATTTTTAAACCTTTAAATCAAAATAAAGAGTTTAATGGATTGGAATTAATGGAATTTTATGTATATATTTTAATTAAATTAATTTTACTGTCTAACCTCACTTTAAGATTTATTCAATATTAGATACACCTAAATTTAAGATACTTTTTTTGAAAATTTGGTTGACTACTGGGTGAGTAGCAGGGCTGCCTTAAAGTTACATATTCTTTTGACACCTCATTATAAGATATTATTTTTCAGCCTTAAATGTGAGGTTTTTATAAGTGAGGTTTGACTTTATAATTTTTTTTATTTTTTAGAAAGAAAGTCATCTAAGAGAATATTTGCCTATTATTAGAGATAAACCTCTTTATCCAGTAATTTATGATTCACAAGGAATTGTTTGTTCTTTACCTCCAATAATTAATAGTGATCATTCAAAAATTACTTTAAACACAAAAAATATTTTTATCGAGGCTACTGGGACAGATTTGAAAAAATTGGAAATTGTTTTGGATACTGTTGTTACTATTTTTAGTCAATATTGTAAGGAACCCTTTTTGTAAGTTTTTTAATATTAATTTGAGTGGAATTTTATTAATATTTTAAAATAGAAAATATTTTCTTTTAGGGTCGAGCCTGTTGAAATTGTTGATGGAAAGGGTTCTTGTGTATATCCGGTATGTTATAATATCAATTATTTTTAATTATTTTTTTGTAGAAATTTAAAGCCTGGAAAGGGAAAGTGGATGTTAAAAATATGTCAAGAAAAATTGGAATTGCTCCGATTAACGTCGACAAAGCAATGCAATTTTTGGCTAAAATGTCTTTGACCTGTTCGAATGTTGAAAAGAATGAAACACAAATTGAGGTTTATTTTTTTAATATTTTATTTATCAAAAAAAATGCTGGGAAAAAGATTTTTCTATCTACATTTGGACAGAAACATATCCAAAAGAAAAATATTTTTTTAAAGGTTAAAGCACCTCCAACAAGACACGATATTCTTCATGAATGTGATTTAGTTGAAGATTTAGCTCTAGCTTTTGGTTATAATAATATTCCTCCATTATTGCCCCAATCAAATACAGTTGCCGAACCTTTTAATTTAAATAAACTTTCTGATCAATTGCGTTTACAAATGGCAATGTCTGGATGGACTGAAATAATGAATTTTGCTTTATGTTCTACAGAAGATGTTGGAAATAAATTGAGAAGACCTGAATTTGAATTGAAAAGTGTTGTTAAAATTGCAAATCCAAAAACATTGGAATTCCAGGTATTTTAATTGCAATTTTTTATAGAAACTCAACATTGAGGATTTTATTTTTAAATTCCACAACTTAAGAGTGTAGAAAATCATGCAATCCGAATATTTCTTTTTTTATTTAAACGATATTTTTTCTTAAAGGTTGTTCGAAATTCTTTACTTCCCGGCATTTTAAAAACAATTTCAAATAACAAAGATATGCCTCTTCCTTTAAAACTTTTTGAAGTTCAAGATGTTGTTTTTATTGATAATAATAAAGGTAGTTAAAAAATAAATTAGGTATATTTAAATATTTTTGAAGATACAAAATGTCGGAATGAGAGGCATTTGGCAGCTGTTTTTTATAGCAAAAATGGGGCTTTCGAAATAATCCATGGACTTTTGGATAGAATAATGCAGATGTTAAATGTTAATTATATTGAAAATTCTAAAGATTTTAATGGGGAAATTAAAGGATATAAAATACAACAAAAAGATGGTTTGTGTTTTTTTAGAGTTGATTTTAAGTTGGGGGTTACGAGGGAATTTTTGATAAAAGGGGAAAGGAAAGTCGGGAGCAGGGACGCAACTGCGGATTGCGTGTTTTTTGGGCTGCGGCAAATTTTTTTCAGTTGCGTCCAGCCTTGGTCGGGATAGACATCCACCTAACAGCTAGGTTTTAGAATTTTTACTTATTGTTAGCTCCTTACTTCTTTTTTCATATTAATTTGATTAAAATTTACTTTTTTAGATCCAACTTTTTTCGATGGAAGATGTGCTGAAATTATTTATAAAAATCATTCAATTGGCACTTTTGGAGTTCTTCACCCAGAGGTTATTAATTCTTTTTCTTTAGTCAATCCTTGTTCTGCAGTCGAAATTAATATTGAAGAATTTCTTTAAATTATATAAAAAAAATATTGTTGTTTCTTCACAAATTATTTGTTTTAATTGGGGGATTTAAATTAATTTTTAAACGTTTGAGCTTTGTTTTTTATACAGAGATGAGTGGATCATTTTTATATTGTGTATTTTATGTTAGCAAGTAAAAAATCTTAAAAAAATCAAAACTCTCCTCCTTTGACCATTCCCTCATCTCTGTAAGGTTTTGTTTTGTTGTATTGTTTTCCTTCTTAAAAATTCTCAATAAAATTTCAATTTTTTAAAATTAATATATTTTCATTTATTATAAATATTTTTTAATTTTTTTTTTAAATTCTTTATAATTTTTAATAAATTTTTGAAGAAATTTTATTAAAATGTATAGCGACGCTTTTTTAATTATTTTTATTGCGTTATTTACTGCTTTGTTGGGAGAAGGACTTACTTGGTTGCTTGTTTATAGGTTTTTTAATTTTAAATATTTTAAATAATTTAATAATTTAAAGATCAGAGGAGTACAAACGTTTAAAATATTCAATGGAAAGAAAAACAAAAAAATTAGAAAAGAAAAAGGAAACAATTGGGGCTGTGGATCAGGGTGCTGGGGCTGCAAATAGTGCTAGCAAAACAACAAAAAGGAAAATTGAAAGGGAAGAGGAACGTTTAAAGTCTACGAATAGAGATCTTTCAATGTTTCGAATGAAGTCTATGTAAGTATTTTGGAATAGCCGCTGGGATTATTCGGGTGGGGATATAGGGATCTGAAGATGCTTGTTTATAGGTTTTTTTAAAACAACTTGTTCAATAACAATTCAAAAGATGGGATATCAGTCCCAGGGGTACCTTTATCCAAAGGGACTTAAAGCCCATCTTATTATTGGAATAAGTGGGGTTTAGCCTTGAAATCTAACCCTAGTTCATGCCCGCGCTGGTTCTTAGTTTGTTCATCTTGCTCCTTACTCAAAATTATTTTTAATCTCAATTTTTTAATTTTCTTTCGAACGTTCTCTCTACTTAATGGTCAAGAAACTTAAAAATTCTTAAAATTTATTTTTAAGGATGGCAATTGGCTTTGTCTTTACAACTTTGTTGAGCACATTTTCTAGTATTTTTGAGGGACGTGTTGTTGCTAAACTTCCATTTGAGCCTATTTCTTGGGTCCAGGGGTTAAGCCATAGAAATCTTGTTGGTAAGTTTTTTTTAATTAAAATGGAGCGTTGTTTCTAAGGAATTTTCAGATTTCCATATTTTCCCGTTATTAAGTCTAGAATATAAAATCTAAAGAAAACGTCATCTCTTAAGAAACTTTCCATTTTCGATTTAATTAAATCTTTTTTAACTTTAAAGGTGAGGATTACACCGATTGTAGCTTTATTTTTCTCTATATTTTGTGTACAATGACTTTACGACAAAATTTGCAAAAAATGCTTGGGTTTGCCCCATCACGAACTCTTAGCCGTCAAAATCAGGGTGGATTCTTTGGGCAAAGTTCTCAATCTAATCAACTCTTTCGGTGAATTTAATGGAAGTTGATAATTGATATATTATTTGATAACAATTATTATATATTTTTCGTTCTGTCAGTTCAAAATTTAAATCCTCAAATAGATAAAATTTTGCTCATATTTACATTACATATGTAGATTTCAAAATGGCTGGTAGATCAATTGTGGATCTTCCGGTGATGACATTAGGCCAAAAAATTTAAAGTATACGGTATTTTTTCATTTCCGGCACTATTTAAAATTCGAAAAAAATTTTATTAAAAAAATTCCAAAAGAATTAAAGTGATAAAATTTTATTAAATTGGGCTAAAGCGTTAGATATATGTAATGGAGAATACATATATTAGAGACGTTCAAAATTCAGTCTTAATTCCTGGGTAATTTTTGCTTTTTGGACATCTCTAAAAATATTTATATAATAATTTTATGACTAGTAAAAAATTGTAAATGCTTCAAAAATTATTTTAAAGAAAATTTCTATAATTAAAATTCCTGAAAATTAAATGCCGAGAGAGAAAAAAGTAAAGAGAATGCCTTTATAAATATTTTTAATTTTTCCTTCTATTTATTAATTTTGTCAATACTTCCATTAGAAGAACGATAAGATGGAGGAGGAGAACAGGCACGAATATTTGGAGGGGGGATAGTTTCAGTAATTGATGAAATTGAATTTGTTTGTTGTGGTAATAATGGTCGACGTGAATCTATAACCATACAAGTTGGTTGTTGTGATGTTGGTGGTGGGGCTATTGACTAAAGAAATTAAATTAAAATTAATTTAAATAAAAATTTTATTTTCTAGGTAAAATATTATTTTTAAGTAGAAAAATTAAGAGAAAATTCATTAATAAAAAAATAATTTTAAAATTTCCAAAATAAGTTAAAAAAGGGTGGAAATTTTTTAAATTTAAAAATTTAAATTTAAAAATTGTTTAAAAATTTCTTTGCGGAAACCCCAAAAAACTATTTGATCTGAATTACTTCAAAACAATAAAAATTAATAACTACCAACAGGATTCGAACCTGAATTATCGAAATTCCAATAATTTTTCTCAATAATAATAAATTATTAAAGAATCTTCTTTTCATAACTATTTTTTAATTTTTCAAAAATTCAATTTATTTACCCATTCTCCACTTGCAGAATATTTAGCCTTTTCCTCCCTTTCATGTTCTTTAATAGCTTCCATGCAACGATTTATTGTCTGTGGAGTTAATGGCTGATCATAACGCCTATTATTTGGAATTCCACCAAAACAATCACAAAAACAACAACCCCTGAACATCTGAAAGAAAAGAAATTAATTTAAGAAAATATATATACAACCCTCATTATACGGATAACCCTAATTCTATTTAAGTTAAATTTCTTTGAAATTTGGTTGGCTATTAGGTAAATTAGCTAGCTACCTAATCAAATACCCTCTTAATTTAAGACATATCTCAATATAAAATATTATTTCCTCTTTAAGAGGTGTATTTATAAGCAAAGTTTTGACTAATAAAATTTTAGCAAAAAATTTTTTTAATTTAAAAATAAATCAAAAATTCTTTTAAATAAATATATTTGTTCAAAACAATTTTATAATTTTTGTTTTGATATTTCAAGGAAAATATAAAAAGGGAAAATTAAAAATAAAGGGCCAACTGCTCACAAAATGAAAAGCTTTTTTAAATAAAATATTTAATTAAAAAATATTTATTTTTAAATTAAAAACTCCATTTTTGTAAAAAAAGGAAGATTTTATCATTTTTCCCCATTAAAAGTATCTATTTATTTTTTATTTAAATTATTCATTTTTTTGTAAAAATATGGAAAAGGCTTTTAATGCATTTTTTTAGTTTCTATTAAAATAATTTTTTTTAAATATTTAGCTTAAAAAATATAAAAAAGCCAATGGCAAAAAAAGGAATCGATGGAAGCGGCTGGCTATAAGGCCAGAAATTACTCTCTAACTCTGTTTTGAAAATGAAAAAAAGCTACACAAAAGAGATAAAATTCCCTCAAAAAATATATTGGTATTTTTAATGGAAAATGAGGAAAAATATATGGAAATTAGACAAAACCCTTATTTTTAGATATATCCCTCGGGGATTTAAAAAATAATATTTTAAATAATTAGGCTTATATTCTAATTAAATAGAGGCTGTCTCTTAAGGCCCAAGCTTAAGGCCGAAAACTCTTCCTGTCACAAAACAATCGTCCCTACTTTAAGCAAAATTTTCGGTTCTGGATACAGATATCAGAAAATTACCCAGAATCCGCCAACCCCTTTTTGGGAACCCCCCTACTCGGCCAACCAGATTTCAAAAAACAAATCTTAAACTAAGGGTTATATCTAAATATTGAATGTATTTTATAGTGAAATTAGACTGTCTTATTTTATAATAAATTTAAAAAAAGAATTTTTTAACAACAAAAAAAGTTCCAGAAAGTTATTTAATATCCCAAAAATATTTTTCTTTTAAAAAATCTTTTCCGGCTGTTCTCTTTTTTATAAAAATAAAAGCGCGCGAAAATCCTTTTCTATTTTCTTTTGTTTTATTTTAAAAGATTACAAGAAGAAAAAATGTTTAGAAAAAAATATGAGAACAATAAATAAATAAAAAAAGAGAAGAGAAAAGAGAAAAGAAAGGCTAAATAAATAAATAAAGTTAAAAATAATTGTTAGAAATTTTTTTAAAATTAAAAAAATTAAAATTCCCCCATCCCCCTCCCCCTCTTTCCTTACCATAAATAAAGAAACCATAATTAAAGCTAAAACCATAAAAACAAGTAAAAACCAAATAAAAGAATTTCCAGAAAATGTTGATTGTGTTGTTCCCCCAATTAAAGCCATTGTTTTGAATGTTTTGAATGTTTGGTTGGTGGTGGTTAAGTTGGTTAAAAGTGAAGAAGGAGGAAATGAAGGGGAAGAGGAAGAGGGGAATGTTTTGTTTGAAGTTTTGTTTGTTGTTTTATTTAATGTTTTGGTTGTTTTCTCTTTTGTTTTTTGTTGTTGACAGGCTATTCCAACATAGTCGAATGGACACCTTTAAATATATTTTCTTTAATAAATTTTAAAAATCAAAAATTAATTTTCCATATAGTAAATTGACAGCTGGGCAGTAAAAGAAGCTTAAGGAAAGAGTAAAGGAGAAAAAAGATAAAAAAAAGAATTTTTGTTATCTTTTTTTTTGAAAAAAAGTGATGAAAAGGAAAGGGAAGGGAGAAGGTGGAGTTTGTTGGCACACATTGATTGAAAAATGGAAAAAAAAGCTTTTTTTAAACAAAAACGTAGAAAAAAATTTAAATTAAAAGGATTTAAATTAGAAATTTGTTTGACTAGTGATTTGACTTAAAAAATATTTTTTTCTTAAATCTTCTTTTATCTAACTACCTGCATTTAAGTTTTCCATGACTTTTTCTAAATAAATGTTTATCTGCATTAGAAGCAAATGTTAAATTCCAAAGGTCACATTGTTCTAAATTAATTGTTGATATATCCGAAGGCAATATGTTTTTCAATAAAGGATTTAATGAAGAAGAGGAGGAAGAGGAGGAGTTGTTTGTTGTAAATAAAAGGGAATCTTTTAAAAGGAAAATTTTTTTGAAAAAATAATTTCTATCCAAACCAGTAACATCAACAGCAACCCAATCTGTGGGGTCCCATTGATGCCTAATTCTGTCTAAAGGTTGTTTTGAAGAAGTAGAGGAGGGAAATTGAATAAAAGGAACACCACCAAAACAACACAGAATTAATAAATCCATTTAAGTTATCTTTTTTTAAAAGAAATTAAATTATAGAAAAAATTAATAATTAAATCCAGACTTAATTATAAAATACTTTTGTGAAGCTAAAATAAGTGGATTTTACAATTAGGTATATTTTAAATAAGAGATGTCGTTCTCAGAAGCCCTTCCCTCCTCAATGACTACTAATCATATTAAAAAATATCTTAGATACATATAAAGGTTATTTTAAATTGCTCTAAATAATATTGAGGTTTGGACTGGCAAAAATTATTTTAAAAATATTTATATTTTATTTAAAATGTCAAAAACATTCTTCAAACTTTTTCGGACCAAAAACACATTTCCGCTTTGTTTAACTTAAACTTTCGCTTTATTTTTATTATTAAATAGACCGAAAAATTGGAATAAATATGTTGCCAACAAAAAGAATAAAAGTTTATTTATTTATTGACCTTTTAAAAGTTTTTAGGTATTTTTTAGTAAAATTAAAAAAGTTGGTTAAATAACTAGGAGAGAAAGTTTTTAAATGAAAGAGAAGGAAATAATGGCAAAAATGAATATTTATAATTATTTATTTATTTATGCCAAACTTTTTTTTCAAAAGTAAAAAAGACACAAATTAATTAATCATTTAAATGAGGGAAAAATAAATAGAAATATTTACATTTTTAAAGTTTCTCTTAAAAATACTTGAGCACGCAATATTATACATAGATAATAATAAATTTTATATTTTTATTTGAAGTTTTCTTTTATTTTAAAGTAATGGATTTTTAAAAAAATAGAATTTATAATAAAAAAATTAGTTTAAAAAATCAAAATAAGACAAAAAGAAATATTTTATATATTTTTGTATTTAATTTACTGTAAAGGAAAGTTTCATCGCCCCAGTAGCTCAATCAGTAAAGCAGCTAGAAAGAATGGTTGACGAAGCTCCTAACAATAATTTATCAGAATGTTTACAGGTTCAATTTCTGTTTGTTGGATAAAAAAACCTCTCTTAGATAAATTCAACATAAAGCAGCTGGGCTATAGCTATTTCTGTCCTCTTTAGCTAGTGATAAAGGTTATTCGACGGCTGGGAGCGAATCTGAATCTTGAGTAGACTCGACTGATATGTTAACAATTACACCATGCCGCTTACTGCTTAGCATTAGGAATTAAATAGCTACTAAATGCTTTACAATAAAAAGTTAACAAAAACTATTTATTATTTAATTGTGAGAAAATGGCAAAAGTAAAAGGAATTTTTTTACCAAATTTTTAAAACAAAAAAAGTATTTTTCTAGAAAAGATTCTCCCACGTTTAAAAAAGAGTATTTAGATGGTTGACATTATTTTCCCTTTTATCTACTACTTTCCCTCTTTCCCTTTTTTCCTTTCATTGGCGCCAAAGCTTTAAATAATTCCTTTGTTTAAAATTCATTTCCTATTTAAAAAACAATGAAAGAAATAAACAAAAGAGGAGGTTTAAAAAATTTTTTTAAATGAGGAAAAAATATTTATTGTGAATTAAATTAATGGAGAGATAGAAATGATCATCTTTAGCAGTAAATAAGGACGAATTAAAATAAAACTTTAAACAAAGTTTTAAAAATAAGAAAACACAAGTTTTTCTTTATTTTTTTACCTAATAATGATAACAATCCAAGTTTTAAGGTTTATTTTTCCAACAAGAAGTTTGGGAGCAAGCCAACTTACAGCGAGCCCAACTTACCGCCGGGGCTATAACTTCGATCAGTATTGTCGAACCCGGGACGCTCTGGTATGGTTCAATTCGCCTCGACGAGCTAAATTGAACCATACCAGGGTGTCCCGAATTCAACAATTTTGAACGAAGTTATTAGTGATGTTCGAGAGTCAAAAAATCCCGAGAGTCGAGAGTCGAGACCGAGACCGAGAATCGACCCCGAGACCGAGACCAAAACGAGAGTCGAGAGTCGAGACCGAGAGTCGAGACCGAGAGATTAAGAGGGATATCACTTGATGTCCCTCCTAATCCCCAAAAATCCCTTGATATACCTCATTATCCCCATAATCGCTTGAATCCCCAAGTCCACAATATATATCCACTGATATTCACATAAATCATTTAAATTCCCTCATATACCTCAATATCCTTCCCAAATCCGACGATATCTCCTTGATCCCTCGATGCCACGTCAAGTCCATTGATATTAAATTTAATCCTTCAGAATCCCCAGTATCTCTCTTAATCTTTTTAATCTTATTAAATTAAAAATTAATAAGATTCCCAGTATTTTTCACCCGAACCCCTGACCTGTGAATTTTTCAAAACCCGGCCCGAAACCTTCCATAAAACCTCTTTTTGCGCCGCAGGCAAAAATTTTGAGAATTTTTGGGGTCCTTAAGTCAGATTTTTTCCATTTTTTGCGCCGCAGGCGAAAATTTTGAAAAATTTGGAAGGCCTTAGTAGAAAAATTCAATTGTAAGAACTACAGGCAAAAATTTTTTGAAGTTTAGATGATCATGAAGCCAGAACTCTTAGATTTCTGCTCCGCCGGCGAAAATCTTGTAAAATTCATGATTAAATTAAAAATTTTAATATTTTTTCACGTGTATAATATATTAAAAAAATAAATTAGCAAATTTATAAGCAAAATCAAAGTTGAAAAACATTTATTTTTGAAAAGGCAAATTTTTTCAGCCTCATTTCCCTCTATGGGTCCGAACCCATATCAATCAAAATATTAAGTGAGGAAAGTCAGTCAACCTAACCACTGAACCATCGACCAACAAAAAAAATAAAAGAAAATATAAATATTTCTTTCTCTTTTCCTTAAAAAATTAAATGTTAGAGTACGCGAGGGACGAGTAAAATTCAAAAAATTTCCGTCATTAGGGGTGTAAATTTAGTCTCGTTTTCCGAGACCAAAACCCCGAGACCGAGACCGAGAGCCCAAAAAAACCGAGAAATTTCTCGACTCGAGAGTCGAGACCGAGACTCTCGAACATCACTAGAAGTTATAGCCTCAGCGGTAAGTTGGGGTGTACCCAAAAAGTTTATTTTAAAGTTGGAATAAAAATAAAAACAACCCAACATTATTAAAATAAAAATATTTTTATTCTCTAAGAAAGTCTCAGTTTTTTTTTAATAAAAAGTATATGTATTGCTTTCTTTGGTCAAATCTTGGCATTAAAGATATCTTTACATTAAAAAGGAAAGAAATAGCCAAAGCATTCCTGAGAATAATAAAAGGGCTCGGCTAAAAAATTGGAGATGGCGGCAGTAGATAAAAATAAAGGGGAAGAAGAAGCTACCGGGGAAGAAGAAAGGAGGAGGAGGACAGTCTTTTTTTCTTTTGTTTTCAAATGTTGGAAGAAGGAGGTTATTTGGGGATTGCTAGGAAATAAAAATGTTGTGGGGTATGTAGTTATGAATAAAAAAAAGTTGAAAGGAGAATAATAATAATAATTATTTTTTTAAAAAAACAAAATTCATTGGAGGAAAAACAAAAAGAGGACAATAAAATTGAAGAAAACTTTTTAATAATGTAGAGAAAACTTTATTATTAAAATTTCAGTTCATGTCATTTTAATTAAACATTACAAAGGAAATAAAAAAAACTCGGTTTGAAATTTTTATAGATTTAGGTGTTTGTTTAGACCCTCCATACTTTTCCCCTCAAAAATCAACGGAAAATGGGGGATTAAGTATTTTAAAAATATTTTCACAAACTAGAATGCACAATATAAACTTTTTTAAAGCCCATTTAAGGCCTATAAAATTTTCCAAAAAATACCCTTAAACTTATTTTCCAAAAATCATTTTATTAATTCAAAACACATTTATTCACATATTACACAAAATTTAAATAACAAAATAATTTTTTTAAGTTGAGAATGTTTTTTCCATCATTTTAAATAAATACTTATTTAATTAAGAAGCCAATATTTATAGTCTCAACAAATTATTTTTCCCCTTTTATTCTTCTTTATTATTTTCTTCAACAAAAGCTTCAGCACTTTCCGTATCTTTTGCAAACGTATCTCGAAATTTTGCAAATTTTTTAATTAAATCTTCAACTTTCATTTCACCACGAACCTAAATTTAAAAAAATATTTTTAATAATTTTTAAATTTCTTCTCCGTATTTTTAGATTAGAAAATCTCAGGCCCGTAGCCAAGGGGTAGCTCCTACCTGAAAAAATCCTAGCTACAGGCCTGGAAAATCTAACAAAAATTAAAAGATGAAGGAAAAAAGGGGGTCATTCAAAATCTGCACGAATATCACAGTGCAAATGTCAGTAAATTTTTTTAAAAATAATTCCAAATTATTCTTTAAAAAAATAATTTTAAAAAAATATTTTTTACCTGATTATCTCTCGTTCGAACATTAACTGTCCCGTTTTCCTTTTCTCTCTTCCCAACAACCAAAATAAAATTAAATTGTTCCAATTGTGCATTTCTAATTCTTTTATTTAAAGTATCTGGACAATCTTCATCAAATTCTATTTCAAATCCAGAATTAAATATTTTTTCCTTAACTTGCGTAGCATAATCAACGATATTTGGATGGACACAAATAATTTTTGCTTGTCGAGGAGAAAGCCAAAACGGCCATTTTCCAGCATAGTTTTCAGCCAAAATTGCAATCAATCTTTCAACAGAGCCGAGAATAGCTCGATGAATCTGGTAAAAAATATATTTTGAGAGTAATAGGGAAGGAGAGCTTAAACAACATTTTTCCAAATTTAAAAAGTCAAATACTTCCTCTTTTAACATTAAAAGAATTATACAAAATTAAAAACATAGGTTAATTTTGTCAATACTTCCTCTCTTCCTTTTAGTGTCCAATATTAAGAGAATTTAAATATGTGGAATACTTACCATAACAGGACGATGGCGCTCTTTGTTCTCACTGAAAAAATATTTATAGAGAATATTAACCAGATCCGAATTAATTTGAAAAATTTTACTCAAAATAATGCAAATCAAAACGCTGAGGCTGTTGAAAGTCTAATTGAATTGTAGCAGTTTGCCAATAACGGCCGAGAGCATCTACAATTTGCATGTCAATCTAAAATTAAAATTATTTTTTAAAATTCCTTTAAAAAAACCTTAGGCCCATAAAAAGCTCCATCTCCAGCATTTAATTCCCAATCATGTCCACTACTTTCTAATGCTCCACTCAATTCTTTTTCGGCTAATTCCCAACTAGATATATCTCCCAAATAGCTCTCCTCCGGCCGCGTACTCAAAAATAATTTGAAAGAGAATCCAAAAACGTCAACATAAACAAAATTTAAAAAATCCAAGCAAGCCGTAATTTCATCCGCTAATTGATCAGAACGACAGAAAATATGAGCATCATCTTGTTGAAAACGTCTCAGTCTTGTAAGACCCCCCAAAGCGCCGCTCATTTCATTCCTAAACATTAAGGATATTGCCCAATCCTGTGAAGAAAAACCTGTGTAAAACACCAAAATCAGCATAACGAATCGGAAGCTCATTATAAGAACGGGGCTTATGATCAAACATCAAAACGTGCCCAGGACAATTCATTGGCTTCAAACCATATTGCTCCTTTTCAATTTCAAATCTCAAATATTTACGTAAATAATATCTAAAAAATTCACAAATTTACTTGAACATATTATCTGCATAATGATGCCAATGACCAGACTGCTCCCAAAGTTTAACATTATAAATATTTGGCGTCATTACCTGTTGAAAAGAAAAATATTTGTGAAGCAAAAAATCGGGAAAAATATTTTAAAAAATTTAAATAATCTGTTCGAATTTCAAATTCATCACAAAAACATGCCCCAATTATGGCCCTCTCAAATTTACGAATATTCAAAAAACAAACCTCCAAAAAGCCTCTTTTTCGATATTCCTGTCTAATAAAGTTGACCAACGTATTATAAATAAACGTTCCTTTTGGATACCAAAAAGCCTTAAAATTGATTTTAAAAAATAAAATTAAAAAAATTATTTACCGATCCAGGACTCATAGGAATAAAAACAAAAAGCTCTTGATCTTTTCCAATTTTGCGATGATCTCTTTTGGCAGCCTCCTCTTTAGCAGCTTCTTCTGGGTCCATTTTTGTATTATTAATAATTCTATTACGATGTAGAACAGAGATCGAAGAACGTAATAATTTATTAAATAAAGTTGGACGAAATAAAGGAACCGTTGTAATTAAATTAATGGCTGTAGTGTAGTGTACCGGTGGTAAAAGTTCGAGACGTGATATATGTCATTCGATTCGTCTCGACGAGCTGAGTCGAACGGTACCACTCCCTATTTTAGGAAATAATTCTGGACCGAGTTATAGGTCTCGGAAAATTGAAAAACCATAGGGGGGAGTAAGGTCAATTTTGGGGTGAAAAATTCGAATATGCAAATAATAGCTCATTCGAAAGAGCTCCTCGAGCTGAGTCGAATGACACCAAAATCAACAAAATCCGACTTGATTTGACAAAGTTATGATCGTTTGTTTTAGCTCCTTACCTATGGTTCCATGGAGGGTTTTGCTGCTACGGAGGCTCCAGGTATGCCCAGAGCAAGGGAGATAGGAATAGGTTTATGTTACGAGCCCAGACCCACCGCCCGTAGACTCCCCGCGAGGCGCGTGCCGCAAACCCCCGCGCGAAGCGCGGGGGTTTGCACAAGCGCCTCGCCGACTCTCCATAGGTTTATGTTGCTTGTTTTTTGTGTCGTAATTTTGTCTAATCTTGTTCAATCACGGTGATTTTGGTGTCATTCGACTCAACTCGTCGAGCTCTTTCGAATGAGGTATTATTTGTAAAAAAAATTTTTTATTCCAAAAATCGCCCCTTTGGATCTTCGATATTTAGGGGCCTATATCTCGGTCCAATCAAGTCAGATTTTGTTGATTTTGGTGTCATTCGACTCAGCTCGAAGAGCTCTTTCGAATGAGCTATTATTTGCATATTCGAATTTTTCACCCCAAAATTGACCTTACTCCCCCCTATGGTTTTTCAATTTTCCGAGACCTATAACTCGGTCCAGAATTATTTCCTAAAATAGGGAGTGGTACCATTCGACTCAGCTCGTCGAGACAAATCGAATGATATATGTCACGTCCCGAACTTTTACCACCGGTACACTACACTATATCCAAATTAATTTTCTCTAAAAAATTGGGGAATTTTTAAAAGATAAATTATAAAATAAACACGTGGAAATTATTCTTATTCTTTGGAACAATTCCACGTTCTAGTGCCAGTCTAAATTTACTGACAAACTACAATAGAAAAATCGATCTCCGGAAGGAAGTGCATTAGAGTCTGAGACACTCTTTCGCTGTGAGTCATCTTCCCTTGTTTGTAAGACTCTAATGGGGGTTTCCTTAAAAGGTGATTCGTTTACCCTTCAATCAAAAATAGTTTTTAAATAAATGCAATAGCTAAATAATTTTAAGAAATTAAAAAAGAGAAGAGACACAGATGGATGCAAAATAAGCAGAATTTTTGGTTTACATGCTTTGCGTTTAAATGGGCTTGAAAATAGTCGCGATTAAATGTGCCATGTACCAAAAAAGGGGTACAGCCCAAGTAGGCGCGCGGCTATGATGGGCAAAGCTATAACTTGCTTCAAAATTTCTGAATCTTACCAAATTTAGTATTAAACGATTCCTCTCATCGAGCTAAAGAGATTGTACCAAAGTTGATTAAGGCCAGAAGATTTCCAGAAAGTTATGGCTTTGCGCCGTTATGGCCGCGCGCCTACTTGGGCGTCCTCAAAAAAGTGCCAATTCTAAAAAATTTTTTCTCGTTTTCTGTTTCTTGCATTTCATTAGCGAGAAACAGAAAACTGATTTTTTAGAAGATCTATCGGTTTAAAAAATTTTTCGGGACTCATGCTTGTTTTTAAACTATTAATTCTATTTATTTATTTAAATTCTGTTTAACGTTTAGAAAAAATAAAAAATGCCTCAACGTTTAACGTATCGTCGAAGATTATGTTACAATACAAAATCTAACAAAACAAAAGTTGTCAAAACTCCTGGTGGCCGTAATGTTCTTCATTATCGCAAAAAGAAAGGATCAATTCCTAAATGCGGTGATACTGGCGTTCCACTTAAAGGAGTTTGTTTTTGAATTTATTTTTAAATAAACTTTTCTTTTTTATCCCAATAGATTAAAGCTGCTCGTCCTCGTCAACTTTCTAAGATGACTAAACGACTTAAAACTGTGACCCGTGCTTATGGAGGTTGTTTGAGCGCTGCTGCCGTTCGCCAGCGAATTATCCGGGCATTTTTGGTTATTTTTAATTAGTTTTGAGTTTACAATTAATTTTAATACAATTTTTAGGTTGAGGAACAACAAATTGCTAGCAAATTGTTGAAGACTAAAGGAGTTGTTAAGAAATGATTTTCCGTTTTATAAATTCAGTACTGTTAAATTGTCTTGAAATAAACTGTTAATGTTTAAATAATTTTTGGTTTGTCTCGTTTAAAGAGGGGATTATCCCTTGAATTATCTATTTACTACAACTACTCTTACAATTGATGCTTTATATAGGACTAACTTTCTAACATAGTTCCTTAACTATAATAGTAGTAATGGTGTTGTTCGTTCCCACGATTCTTCGTTTACATTTCTCTTGAATTTATTGACCACTTTTGAATTTCATGACACGTTGTGTCATGAATACAACAGGGATGTGCCAGTTTCGCCTTTTTTTAACTCGCTGTTCGAGTCAAAAAAGCCCTGATCTACAATCCGAAAATAGATTTGATACCTTCCAACTCGTTATAAAATTCATGAATCGATCATTTTATCGTCGAATTACCAAAAAATAAACTTTAATTTAACAAGACAAATTTTAAAAATATTAAATAATGTGAAAAATTTTAAAATTCGAAAGCTTTGGTTCTATTGTGAAAGCAGCAAAGTTTTTAGGTCAGAAATACAATTATTAAATTTTTATTAGATGGATTGTTGTGAGCCTCTGTAAGCGTTCCTCAAATGTTCGTGCACACCCTCTGGAAGTTGCTCATCCCCAAAATAGATACATTCTGCTCCAACCTTAAAATCAAAAATTTTAAAAAAATATCCAAAAAATACTTCAATTAAATCATCATTTGGTGTTTTAAACGGCGGCGTTAATTTTATTTTAAATCGGGGCTTTGGCATTTTCCCACGGTAATAAGCTTCATAGATCTTTTCATCAGGCCAATCAACATAAACCTTGAATTTTAAATGATTTCTCTATAATATCTAACTAAGAAAATACTAATGATCCCGGAATGTGTGATCCACCACTACAGCCAAACCATTTACATTCACAATTTCTAATTTCTCCAAGAAAAAGGTCTCCTGATATTGTTCCATCCAAAAAATCAACAGTAGCACATAAATGTTCTGTTATTCCAACAATACGGCCAACACCGGTAAGATTTTCTTCGTTGTCATCACCTTCTTGATGAACAATAACTTCTTGATTGATTTGAAATTTTTGGATATCAGTATAGACTAAAAGAAGTTGAATTCAGAACATTTAGAAAAAATATTTTAAAAAACCTGGATCATCTTGTTGATCGCTATGATGAAAAGAACATACAGCAATAACATTTTCTGGGTAATGTCTTCGTTCAAAAGTAACATCAGCAAGCGGAGCACAAGTAATGTGAAAACGAAGTTTTGCACCAACTTCTTCACTCGAAAGACAAATATTGCAACGAATAAGATGTTCTGACTGTTGACCACAAACTAATTTTAAAAAATTAAAATTCGAGTTCGAGTCCTTTGACATCCTCTAGCCCATTCCCTTCAAAATCGAAAAAATTGAGAGAATTTTCATCAAGAATTTTTTATCATTTTTTCCCTCTCCCCTCCCTCGAAAAAAATCCTGATTACGGGCCTGGCTTACAGAACTGACCCTTAAGTGAAAACAATATTAAATAAAAAAACCTTCGCATTCGTAGCTTGCCGAATATTCAGAAAATTGTTGGTTAGAATTCCTCATTGCAACAGTTAATTCTTGGCAGGGAATTGGTAGTGAATGACAACTCGAGGATGGGGAACATTCTTTGTATTCAATAAAGGTATTCAAATAAGAGTTATTAACATCATTTTGGGATGGTGAAAGACTTTGAAATGGAGTAAAAGTTATTGGCGATTTACTAAAAAATTAATTTTAATTATGCTTAATGACGTATATTATTTAATTAATTAAGAATAAAGCAACTTCGATGTACTTTTTTATATATTTTTAGTTTAAACTGCGATTGGCCTTCTTGGCCGGTCCCTAGTTCCACTCCCCATAAAAATACCCAATAAAATTTTCAAACATTTCAGAGATCCCTGAATCACCAAAAGAAACATCATTTAAAGTATTTGAAATAATAGGTGTCTGTTGTTGAAGCAAATTTGGACTAGAACCATTTCTTTCCGAAATAGATGACTGTGTTGTTAATAACCTTTTAGGTGGAGGACTAAATGGAGCAGAACGATTTTCAGGTTTCAAAAAACGAGTTCCTCTGTCCATTAATGCACAAATAACATGAACAAAATCGCTTCCTTCGCCAAACATTCCTTCACATTCTAATAAAGCCCCTCCTCGAAGTTCACATAATCTACATGAAGTAGTTCGGATAAGGACATCATTCCGATTATAACAACGTTCACATAACCAACATTCATTCACTATGAAATTTTATTAAAATGTATAAAATAAAATCCAAACAAACTTTCGGGTGTCATTTTTGTTCCTCCACAAGGATAACAATTTTTATGTACAACTATAAAACAATTTGAGCATTCTAAAAGTTCATCTTCACAAATTGTCATATCAAGATTTTTAAGGTGTTTTTCTTTATAGAACATCTGATCAGTTACATAACGTCGAGAACTTTAATGAAAAATTGTAAAAATCGAAAATTAACATAAGTTTAAACAATAAAAATGCTAATTATACTTCTTGTCCATCAGAAACCCTAAATTATGAGGAAAGGAGACCTTAAGTAGATTCCACTGAATAGAAATACTTTACATATTTATAATTTAACGCTATTCACCCCAAAACTAAACCATAATAATTTAAAAAACCTTTTTGGCAAATTTTCCACAGGCGGAAGCGAATTCCAAATTTCTTTAGATATAAAATATTGGCAGACACAACAATGAGGAAACAGTTTGCCGCAACGACTATTATGAGTTTTTTCAGCAAATAAATTGACTGGACGATTTGCCCAGAGGTCAAACATTGGTTTTCTTGCTTGAAAAATTTTCCGTTGACGTTTCGTACAAATTGATCTAGGCAAATTTATTGAACTGTCTTCACTGCCTGTTTCACTTTTCCCTCCGCCACTGTCCTGACTACCTTTTCGTTTTCGAGTTTTTATGGTGTCTGGTTTTGTAGGTTCTAAAAGAATTTAAAATATTTTTAAGAAATAAAAAATTAAAACAAACTATAAGTTGATGCTCTTTCTCCATACCAATAATCAAACCTTAAAAATATTTTAAAAAACTTAATTCTAGTCAAAAACGAACCATTCTCGATATTCTTCAGGTCTGTATTTCTTCATAAAAGGCCGCATATCGATTTCAACAGTGTCTTTTCGACAATAACAAAGAACAGCATTTTTTCCTAAATTATTATTTCCAATTAAAAATTTTTAATAATAAAAGAACCATAATCAATCCATCTCTCCAATGCAAAATTTGTAGATTCCGCACAGTTATAACCAGTATTAAACCCCATATGGTAGCCTTTTGGAAAAGC